TATGTTCACGATATTCTTGATATACTTACTATGTATAAAATAATGTATGTTTGCAGAGAATGGGTGTAGAAAATCGCTAACAAAAAAAAATCTTAAAAATGAAAATAGACATTCGTTAATGATGATGATGATTCTTATAATACTGCACGTATTCCTTCCAATTAAAAATTACTTTCATATAATATGAATAATAATTTGTGTAAAGAACTTGTATTTCTATATGCAATTGTTGTAGAAAAATCAATCTTCTACTTTAAAGATTTAAATTGTATAATTTGAGAGTATAAATTGCAATCATTAAAGATAATTAGTAAAATATTGCTACAGTATGTGTTGTATATTGTATATATTACAAATAACCAGCAGCATCACTAAACAAAAATGTAATGGTTGCCTATTAGTAGAAATACACTGATAATACGATTAAAAATTTCTAACCATTAAATGTACATATGTAAACGTAAAATCTATTAAACAAATTATTATTTACTGATAATTAATTAATTCAACGTTAATAATAATCGCTGCTTTATAACCTTGACAATGTTTGTAAATGAAATAGTTCAGTTTTTGTTTGAAATGCTAATAAAATAAAAGTCAAATTGTGTTTCTTAATTGGCCATGACTCTTAAAAATATGGTAATTTTAATGTATGTGTTTATTTTCCAAAATATTAATGCCAATTTTAAATCAGCGTTGTTAGTGTTACAGACAGTAAATCTTCCTGCAACATCTCATTTACTTTGAAAAACCGATATATATTTGTTAACTTAAAAACGGCAATCTAAAATTTTGTTTATTTCTGTAAGGATTATTATGGTACTACAGTTAAAAAAAAACGATGTTTAGTTTTTATGAACCTTGACATTTTGTATGAAGAGGCTAAAATAGCGTTTTGTTGTCTAACGTACATATTCTTCGAAGTATTTTTATTACAAATTATTGCAGATAAAAATATGAATTTTTTAGGTAACATCTTTCAATTTCAATTAATTGCAAATAAATAAACCATCTTACTCAATAAGCTTGTATTTCACTTAAGAATGCTAATAAACCTTTATCTCGTGGAATTTTCTGGAGACAGGTAAATTTTGTTTAATTTGTTTTTGTGAATAATTAGACATTTTACCTTTAATATTGTTCTACGGTGTGTAGCAATGGAAAAAGTTTGAAGCAATTAAAAATATCATGACATAATTTGATCTCGAAGCACAACGCAATAAAAGATATTAATAATGTAAAATAATACGAAGGTGTTACGTTTTATTTCCACAATAACTAACTTTAACTCTATGAATAGCGTTCAGTGACTTTAAATAAAATTTGCTGTTTTTCATTTCAGCTTAACTGAAAATAAAATCGTACGCAAATAACAAAAAATATGGATACTGAAAATAAAATCTTAATGTTCTGGTTTAAAAAGGTTGCAGCCAGTGGCGGCTCGTCAGGGGGGGCCAGTTAGGCCAGGCCGAGTCTGTCACCGAACTTGTCAATTTGCGATATTCATTTTTATTTTAAACGCAAGAATATAATTTAAAGCTATTTTGAAATCACCTGATTTTACTGTTGTTATTATTTTTTTAATTACAAAAAGCGTTATCTAATTTATTCACTTTCGTTCGGAAGCACAAATCGTGCCGGGAAGTTTGAATATTTTTACTGCGAGGAGCTGAGGCCGGCCGACTACAAGAACAAACGTCGAATAATGTCATATCTGCTATCGCTCTCTGTTTAGCAGAATTAAAGAGAAATAGCTATAAAGACTGATACGTGTCTGATACGCTCTGATTAACGCGCCTGCAGCAGTGATTGGTCAAATGTCTGCTAAAATCGGCCGGCCTTTTGGCAGTACATCAAGTTGTTATAGCGCTATCACCTTCTGTTTGCATAAGTTAGAATGCAATAGCGACGAAACCGTACAAAATTCCGTTTCATCACTGCACTTCTGCCGTGCACTTTTCCATGCGGTTCCCCACTACCGGCACCGGCTGGCCGCTATCGGTATATTGTGAATTTCTGCAGTCTTCACGTGGATGAAATTGGTTTAGGTTTGTTTCTAATTTCAGTAACAATGACAACAGTTTGTAAGAGAATTAGTAACTGATTTAAATTTTGATGCTGTTACACATCTATTAAATAATGACTTTCGACTTTTAACATACGATGATCAATTCCTGGGATATAAAAGAAATGGCCCGTTCGGAGCCGCGCATGCAACATTTAATCGAAGCACGGAGCAATAATAACGTCAGCTCCGGTGCAATAGCATATATTAATAATTAATAATAATTAATACAGCATGGTATGAAAATTATGAATGGCTGACGGGGAGCAAGTCAAAAAACAAACTATTTTGTTGGTATTGTTTAATTTTTGAATATCATGTTGACAATAAATTCAAAAAAACTTCAGAAAAAGAGTTTTGCCTCTGGTCGTCTGGTACGATTGGCATATTGAGTTACCGTGCTCTTTTGCCATCTTCCTAATTTCTCAACCCTGCTCCTGATGATGCTACTTACGAAAATGTAGAAGCCTCCGAAATTATTTCTGTCTTTAATTTTAATCATATGGTATATGATTAAAATTAACACACACACATCAGCATATGTTGAACGCAGTTTTTCAGCTTTAAAGCGAAATACAAATTTTACTAGAAACTCCATTAGTCAAAATTGATTATCCAAATTATTCGTTTTAGCAATAGAAAAAGAAGTGCTTACAAACTTATCGGAAGATCAAAAGTTCTATAATCAAGTAGTTGACCACTTTGCCAATACAAAACAAAGACGCATTGAATTGGTTTATACAAATTTCTAATTTACTTTTTTAATTTTGTTTTTTACTAATAAATAGTTGTTGACGTTTAATGTTATATTTTTTGTTAGAATGTGTTACTTTATAACTTGAATGTTATTTTCATTTTTATTTGAGTTTATTGACGTTATTTTATTATTATAGATGGCTTATATTGTATAAGTATATGCTTTACTTTATACCTATTTGAAGAATATTTTTTATTTTGTTTTACCAAGTTGTTAGGACTATATGAATTAACACCATACAGGTAGCAAATTATAGATAATGATTAACTTGAGGTCCCTGGTTCTTGTATTCTATGTCTTAAAACTTTGGGTTACTCACTGCTGGCCGACCCAACCAAAATAGTCACGAGCCGCCACTGGTTGCAGCAGTATTTATGAGACTCAACCATTAGTCGACGTATTTCGGAAAACACACAGCATTGAACAACTATGTAAATGCTGGTAATTATTGAAATGTGACTTCTAATATCACTTTAAAACCAATAAACAAACAAGGTCAAAAATAAGAATACGTAACGGAGATTTCCATAATTTGGTAGATACTAGTTTTCTTGTCTTGAATAAAAAATACTAAATACGGCGTTCTTTTTCAACTTCACTTCTATAGGAAATAATATTTTATGTATGTGTGTTACAAATTTATCTACAGATTTTGAAAAAAAAACACTGTAAATTCTAACAGCTGTAATGACTTAATCAAGTTAAGCAAATGCATTTTAATTACAACGGAAAACCAATACGAAGGAAATTACTTACAGTTTCACCGAAATATATGTCGCGCTGAGTTATTTCAGTCAGTCAATAAACAACGCGAATGAAACACAGAAATTATTCTTTGTTTCCAAGTAAGATATTTATAAATTTTACTGGATTTTTGAAACTGGTATCCAGCACCTAGTCTATTTCTTTGGAAGCTGAGTAATCCATATAGGTTACGTTCCACGAACTCTCAGAAGTTGAAGGTTGCCATGTTGATGCTTCTAATAAACCTTTCCGATGATTGTTGACATTTAAATTTATCATTTTCTAAAACATTTCGACATTATGTGAAAGTGCATAGTTATCGGAAAATAAATTATTTACTAAAAGATAACATGATTGATAAAAAACTAGAGATATTTACACAAAACTTCCCCACCCATCGAGGACAAAAATACCGCATTTATGACTTTTTTTAGAATATTTTTTAATTATTATTTTTTCGAGGTGAAATAATTACCTTTTGGTAAGGATAAATATTTCAGCTTTAGCACATTAATGAAAACATTCCCGGAATTTCAGGGATATTAAATGAGCAAATTCTGAATAATCGATAGAATAAATTTATTACGTATAAATATATTATGTACGAAGGACCAGTTATCAACACCTTGATGGTCAAAATCCTGTTAACATCTGAAGTTCCCTATTATTCCGTGGTTGGTCTAGAGAAAAACCTACAATATTTTTATGATATAATCTATTTTTAGAAGGGAGAAATAGAAACATTTTTGCAGGGTAACAACTTTTTTTCCATAACTAGCTTTCTTATGTTTTTTTTAAATATACGTAAATTTTGTTTGTTTATAAATTAAAATGAATTATTATATATTTTCACAATTTTTCACTATTCTTATCTTAAAATATGACACCTAATCATTATAATTCAGTTTTAAAACATTGTTTAGTACCTGTGCTGTCTATGTCATCGGTCACACAAGAACAGCATACTCGAATAGTCACCACAGTATTATACTTTTGTATAGTTGCAACCATTGAAATGTGGACTACTAACAACAATTTATATCGTAATTTGTAGCTTTCATCTTTTTTCAGTTGTCACTTTATTGTTAGATAAATTGCGCTATGATTAAGTGACATTTCTGTAATAGATAGTATAGCATTTTCTTTATTTATTTTTTAGTAAGCAGGATTTACCGTTGTAGATTTAATAACAAACTTACAAATATACACGTGCTTACTTTCACTACAAACGTAGTTTAAGTACCAAGATTAGATGAAAAATATTGTAAGAAGTCATTCTGCACATTTGACAGTCGAGATGGAAATTGCTTAGTTGTTCTTTTGTAGCCCAATTTCTTTCATATTACCTTAATTTACATTTTTGCCGAATGACTTCTAATAATATTCATAGCATTTTGTCGTAGCAATAATTTGTTAATAATTTTCTTTTTTCAGGGATGATAATATCTATGCCATTCCTTCTATTAACATTCATCGCTTATGCACTACTACCGGACAGAAATCTTCACATGAAAGCTTTAATGATTTATGTTATCAACTTGATGCTAGGCTATTTACTTCTGGTAATCATTCAACTTAGTGAAATCAGGTTTAGTGATGGAGTCTGTACTGCCATGGGTAAGATTTATTTTACAGAATACATTAAGATCGCAAAATTTTAATCTAGGCAAAATAGTTATAGAAACAGTTACGTAGAAGTCGCGGCATAAAAAATTGTTTTTTTAACCATCTAGAAAATCTAGTTTTGTCAAGTAGAGAGCAGGTTTTTGCCAAATCACTGATGAAATATTAAACTAAAATATTCTTAAGAAGAAATGGTATCTCCAATTTAGCATAGCAACGTGAATTACATAAACGAACTTTTGTTATATTTAACATGTGCTCGATATTTAAAAAAATATCTCTCGCTTATTTTTGAAGATACGAAATGAACATGAGGTAACCATTGTATGATTTTTTTTTTAAATCTAACGTTATTATAAAAATGTTGGTACAAAAATCGTTTTAACCTCTGTGTGTTTAACATATTCTCACTTTATTTACACCGTTTGATAAACAGTAAACTGCAATTTGACATCAAGACATTCATTTTAAAGAACAATTTGCAACAAAAATTAATTTTATAATGAAATAGCTATTGAGAACGATTAAAATTTGCGATCTTTAATAAAAAATATACGGTGAAATTAATCGTTCCCTATAATTCACTAATGGTGAAATATATTTCAGGTTATTTTTGTGTATTTTTCTTCCTGGTGTCCTTCTTTTGGATGAATGTTATATGCATCGACATCTGGTTCGCATTCAGGTAAGATTACTTTGTGATACTGTTCCCGTTGTTACTTAAACGTACGCTTTTAATATTTTTTGATTTCACAACACTAACATAAAACAGAAGTTTTTTTCTGATGATGCACATAAGTTGGAAAAGTGCATTTTCAGTGGTCGACTGCGATATTGGCGCCACAAAGATTTTCCCGTTTTGGTCACTCGTGAGGTACTGTTTACTTATTATCAGTATTTTCACAAAAAAATGCAATATTATCGTAACCACGTCTTCCGCTGATATGAAACAAACACTTGATTCACACTGACGCATGAAAAAATTTGTCCCTAAAATAAACTTTTTCCCATTAATCAAATCGTGGATAAAATAAATAGATAAATAACAACGCTTCTACTGTGGGAAACTGCTAATTGAAGAGAGTGAGTCAGTGATAAATGAAGTAATCAAATAATAGTAATTTCATTCATGAAAATGTACGCGTTATTACAAGATTAAATAGAAAGTGAGTGGTAATAAAAACTTCATTACGTATTCATAGTTCTGAAAATTAGTTGTAAAAGCGCAGTTTTTAACACTTATTCTAGATTTTCAAACTGTGTGTTACTCATGAGTAACGAGTACCATCCAAGGTTCATTAGCTGTTGTCTGTTATGGATAGGACTGTTGCACACCTACCATACTATAGTTGCTCATCTACAGCGAATAAATACAAATTCACCGAATCAGGAAAATGCACAATCCAGATGCAAACTACAGAATTTTTCAGTAACAAAGCATTTTTCAAATAATAATAAGAGAAAGTTGTTGAATAATAATGATATTTACAAACCATAACCTACATTACTAAAAACCGCTGTCGCAAGTTTTTCCTAGTGTTTTCGAAAAAACAAAAAAACAAAATGTTTAACAGTGGAGAATTGCCAAGCAAAATATTTCCCTTTTCAGTATATGTTCCCAAATTTTGATGTGACCAATCTTTTTCAATTAGACAGGAATTCTTAACATGACACCTTTTTTATTGCAGTCATCGAACTTGTTGTAACTAACTTCTATTATTTTCAGTGGTTTACGAGGTTTCTCTGGTAGCAAGAAAACGGCAGAAAGAAAAAGATTTTTCATGTATTGTGGGTACGCATTTGGCATGCCTGTGCTGCACGTCCTGGTTGTCCGTTTAATTGATTCAAGCCTTGCCCAAAACTCTGATTTCAAGCCTGGAATTGGAACTGGTCAATGTTTCTTAAAACGTAAGTAACTTTTTTCATTTCGCGTGAGGAAGATGTTAACCACAATAGTGGATAAATTCGTTTTGTTAAGTTAAGATTAAACAAACTACGCCCTGATAAACAATACACCCTAAAAATACCACATTTAACAATAATATTTTCTAGACTTTTATTTGAATAAATGTTCGTCCAAGAATTATAGAATACATTGCAAACAATCAGGAATGCAATTTACGTTAAGATCGTACAAAAGATGAAGCCCATTTTAAACAAGACGCACGTGAGATACATAAATTTATATACACACTGTTTTCCATAATTGTGCAGTTACGTACAAGAGAAACCTCAGATTTTTCAGTTTATTAAAGAACTTCTCAACGTCAGAGCCGCTGAAGATTTTCAAACGATACTAAAGCCACCCAGAATTTGTTAATAAGGATAAGGACTATAATCAAATGACATAGAATATTTCATAGTTAATTAAGTGTTAAGAAATTCAGGTTCTCTCCTTAATCCTATCACTCCATTGTCCTTGACTACACCGTTTTCACTGACTAAAAGTGTATTCACAACTTTAATCCATATTAGCACTAAAACTATCTATGCTATTTTCTTTATTCACAATTAATCTGTTTATAATTGGTACTGTGTAGAGTGATTTAATATTAATAATAAAAAAAAATCTAAATGAAAATGAACAAGGAGAAAGTAACAAAACTGACGCAATTTTAGCGGTTTACTACCTGTTTCGCAATACGACAAATAGATATTTATTTACCGAAGCTGAATTTGCTTAAACCTGCCCCAGCAATTACGAAAATATTCAACAAAAATTTTACATTTTGACTTTAAATTTCCACCTCGAAGTTTTCAACCAACTGAAAATACGGTTCTAATTATTTTCAAAACTACTACATAACTAAGTTAAATTCTGTCATTTTTCTAATACATCCTGTTTTTACAGCACATAATTAATTATAATTTCCAGTCATCAAAATTTCTAATGTAAAATTTAAAAAAACGGTCAACTGAAAATTTTAAAAATACATAATATGACAATATAAAAAAAGTCAAAGAATTCTATTGGCTATTATGAACCACTCAAATATGACTAAAATCGCTAAAATTCGTAAATAAAATATCTCAACAATAAAATCTCACTACGTACTTTATTTTGGCTTACATCTAGTTCTCTAAAGAATAGGAAACAACTCGAAAATGTGTTATTTGAGCAAGTTTGACATCTTCGTTTTTTAATTCAAGGGTTTCAAGGAACACATTATTTTTAAGCTGTAATATTTAATTCAGGTTCCACACGACGAATTGAAAAAATTATTTCAAATTTACACAATGAATTCATAATATCTTTACTTTTCTGTTTCAACATTATTTAACATTTAATTTTCAATTTTAAGAGGAGACCTTCATTGTCTCTTGTAAGGTGTTCATTTTCAGAATGTAATATCTCCATTATTAACAGACTTATTGCTGTGAAATTTTAAATATATTGTACACAACTTCTACTATATAACGCGAGAACAGTTTTTTTTCAAAACAATTTATCATCTTTTTTTAATTTTGTTGAAATTTTTGCATCACATCTTTTTAAAAATCGATATCCCCATTATGTATATCTATGGAAATTTCCGAACGTGATTTTCACAACTGTTTTCAGCTTACAAAACTCTAGAAATTACGAAAGAAACATTATCGACTTTTTTTTGTCGGAAATGAGATACAGTATAGAGTTTTGCAAGCTGAAAGCAGTGCTGAAATCTGCGTTCCAAAATTTTCATAAGTAATCAGATGTTGGTTTTTAAAAATTCGCGATACAAAAATTTCGCAAAAATTGTGGATAAGTTTCATAAGTAATCAGATGTTGATTTTTAAAAATTCGTGATACAAAAATTTTACAAAAATTGTGGATAAGTTATAACTTTCAAAGCAATAACTCTGTTAATAATGGAGATATTACATTCTGAAAATGGACTGAACACTCACTTGAATGTTGATGACTTAAAAAAATCGTTACATTATTATATTGTTCTTGTTTTCATACAAATAACTCACTGGTATTTTGTTGTAGGAGGCTTCCCTGAACTTCTGTACTTTTATGGACCAATGGCAATTCTGATTACCATAAATATAATTTTGTTTACTATAACTGCGTTCAAAATTAGGAGTGTTAAGAAAGAAACATCTATGTTGAAGAAGGAAGACAGTAAGCGTCACAGTTATGAAAATGATAAGCAAACGTGAGTAAACTTATTTTCTCTTTAGACGACAAATATACAGGGTTAAAATTTATAATAACCCTATATTTACAGAAACATATTTGTTTGAACATTTAAAAAAAAATCTGTTTGAGGTATAATCAAAAATACTTTTCGGTATGCTTTAAAGTACATATTAAGCTTAAATTTCTTAAATGGAACACAGCGTCACACTTCCACTGTTAGGTTTATCTTCTTATGCTTAAAAGAAAAAATATACTAAAATAATGAAAAAACCCTATACAAAAAGTCAACTAAACATGAACCACAAAAAATCTTATTCAAAAGGAATTATGAAAACAAGAAATAAAAAAAATTAAACAATGATTTTTAAATCATAACAATCATAACGCTTCTTATAAATAATTTATAATACTGATCAGTTGTTTATAATTCTACAAGGCCAAGCCAAGAAATAAAAAGGAAATTGCAGTTTGTTTATCTTTATTTTCTTTTAAATATAGTAAAATTTAAAATACAACAAGAACTTACAGTTATTTCACTTTTAATTTTAAACAAGCGGAAAAAGTTTTAGTGTTTAGACAATTTTTGTGAGCTAAAAGTTTTATAATATTTTTATAAACTAGCGAGTGTTAGATACACGTTTCAACCTGATATTGTTATAATAATTTATTGCACGATATGCACATAAATTAGCTTCTAGCTATTTGTGGTTAGCCTCAAAGTTAAATATACCTTACGAAATCTATTAATTTTTTGTAATGCAGTGCTGTGGTTCTTGTTTATTTTTGACATTAGTTGGGGGCAGAATATTTTTGTATACATAATTCCGAAATATATGCATGACTGTAAATTAAAATTAATTAGTTGGAATAAAATTATGTTAGGGTAAACTTCAATTGGTTTAAAAAAGAACCCAAAATGATAGTACACGCTAAGAAAAACCTACGCTATATCAATAGGTTCAACCTCTACCTCAAGCTGCTGTTTGCCATGGGAATCAACTGGTCGATGGAGATAATTTCTTGGGCTGTGATATGGGCAGGAAGGGCACCCGATGCCATCTGGTACTTAACCGATTTTTGTAATGCCATATATGGAGTTTTTATTTTCTTCATATTCGTCTTCAAAAGAAGCATTTGGAAGTTGCTAAAGAAGCGGTAAGTACTTTTTAAAATTCTATACGTCTCGCTACATACATATAAATGTTCATTTCATTTTTGTTTTAACTAATAATGTGTATTGATCTGAAGATACTTTTAGATTTTACTGGAGTAAACCAAAGATAATTCAAACAATGACAACAACGAGCTTATGAAATCGAGTAGTAAATCTTTTCCCGGAATTAGATTTTTTTAAATAGTGGCAGTAAGTTACCAAGCGTGCAAATGTATTTATCTTACACTTACTGCATCTGGTTTCTGGCTAACGCTTACAAAACAATAATAATAAGTCTTTATTTCTTTAAATTAAGACGACAACGGCTGGAGGGTTTTCGTTTTTCTTTATTTATTTATTTGTCTACTTGTAAATAACAAAAATACAATTAAAATATGGTTTAGGTTTTTAGCGTTGCACACGGTTTGCGGTTTAGAAATCTAAGTAATATCTGTAACGAAAAACAATAGTAACTAACTGACCGCATGCTCAACTTTTCTGTTGATAATACTTAACTTAAGTGGTGGCATCAAGTTAATTTAATGGCGTGCACTTAATAGCACTTTGAGACAATATTTTTAAGAATATTTAATTGCAGCTTTTTTCAATTAATTTTCTTTCAACTAACACTTTTTCTTCATTTTCAGTTATTACTCGTTTATTGGCAAAACACATTTGGCTCACTCTCTGACGATGACAAACACAACGAGAGTTACAAGCTACTCTGTTACCAATTCCTCGGTTCATGAAAATCCGCATGGAGTAGCAAATGACAGCAGTACGTTAACCAGCTATGCATAAAGAAGTTGTTGGAGGAAATTTGAAATGTATTTTTTGTTGTTTTTTTAATGATGTTTTAGAGTTTTTATTTAAACAAAAGGTAAACTCTATTTCTCGAAAAATTATATTTTTGGTAAAATGTTTTAGTCAAGAATTCCTTTTATATGATAAAAGATAAATTCGTTTGAAATGTGTTTATTTTCATACCAGTATAAACATTTTCCATGACAAATATTTCTAAGTGTTTTTGTATTCTGTATGTACCTATGTTTAAAATACAATACCTGTGTCCGTAAATTATAGAACATATTCCATTAAAAATAAGAAATTAAATTTACAAAAATTGCCAGACAAGTAAACCAATAATAGCTAAACATATTTCGAATTGTTAAAATATAGCAAACGTGACAAAATATTTCAAATGTTCTAGCTGTCCAAAGCTGATCAAAATTTCTCCGAATTGTACTCAGTTTATTTTTACTTTAGTTCTTAAAATCTACCCCGTGTTAAAACATCGTTTTACATGTTATCCATTTTCATTTCTAAATTTTTTATAGAATTTATTCCATAATTTAGGGACCCCTGTATGGGTTGAAGAGTATAATTTCCTTAGACTCTTTAGAAGTTTTACTCTTCATTTAATGATGAAACAATTATTTTAGTGCCATATGTATACGCATTCATCACTCTACAATCGCACATTAATATTTCGTTGTTCATTATCTAGCTGTAAGTCATACACACAATGTAATTTCATATCAACCTCTTATCATTCTTAAAACGTTAGAATGTGGAGAAACTAAATGCTATAATAATTCAGTTTTAAAAGTACGTATCTTCATAAACTTATTTTAATTCGTGTTATGGGGCAATTACGAATCTACTAAATATTTTCGAATAAAAACAAGTATATCAGGCTTCAGTATTGACTCATTCGGAGTAAGTATTTAACATTTCAGTGAAACAGAAGTGAAATAAGATTAAATAATAATTAATAGAGTTGCAGTTTTTTTTTTTGTCAAATACCAGCATATTACGTACTACATAAACAGAATTACTTTTAAGTGAAAACTCGCTAAAATTCTTTTTTACATGTAATATCCGTTATTTAAACGTGTGTAATGGTGATTTATCAAACTTAATTGTAAAATTTCTATAACCCAAAAAGACAAAACTAACTCTAATATACACAGTGACTCTAAATATTGCAATATTATCAATGTTTGCTGTGCATTGTGTCCTCCGTTTTAAAGATAGACCGGATTAGTAATAAATTTGGTAATAAATTTGTCAAGTATCATAATGTATACCTTTTCAAAAAGGTGTTAAATTTTGTGCCAATTTAGTCATTTCTCATGAGCGAATATTTCTAATTACTTCCTGAGTTAGCTTGCATTTTTAGGCTAAAGAATAATATGTGATATTTCATTAACCTTCATATGTATGTCATTTACTGATGTGGAAGGAAAAACAAAGAACTCTTTTCATTTTAATATTAAATTTCTCTCATTTGCGTTTTAGTAGATGTACTAATTACATCCAAACAATTTTAACTATAACAATAGTAAGAGTACTTGTAACAAATATTAATGATATGAAAACACAATATTTTTATATTATTTATGAAGTAACGTTAAAACAGTTACTTCTAGCCATAAGTAAGATGTTGCTTGTACAAAGTCTTGAAAAATTATTAATACATGTCTTATCATAAAATCTTACTCTAGCATACCTATAAGTACACAAAAGTTACCTACTTTAGTTTTTTAGTTTCATAATGGAAAAAGCAACATTTTAGTCGATTAATAACTTAATACTTAGTTTCACACACTACGTTTACAATTTTTATATGCTTCGTTAAGTGCCATTGAACATAGTTTTATTTATTCCGTAGTATGTCATTGTAATCAACTTTTAAATATATTTTATTTGTTGATAGTTTAGTATAACTAGCACCGTGCGATCAAAAGTAAAAGGAATTTGTTATGATATTGAGCTAAAAATTACTGCCATCTAACGAAAACAACGGGTAATTTTAAAAAGATTAGCACAACTTTACTGTAATATTTCATACGCAACCTGATCACTCAGTACCAATCTAGTTTCATATCTTCCCCGAACTGTTTTTTTTTTTTTTTTGGTTAAGGGCGTAAAATGGACGTATACTAAGTATTCAAATTTATGCTTGTCATTCCCAAAATTGTTAACGGCATGATATGAACCTTATAGGTCCAAAACACCAGCTAAAGTTATACAACCATAACATTTTTTTTGATGGCACGATAAAACTTAAATGTTCATCAATCTTTCCTTATCTTAATAGTTCTTCCTGTTTAGTAACTGTGGTCTTTGTTTTCGATGTGCTGAATCCAAGAAAAACTTTGTAAATGTTATAGTCCCTATAGTCCACATAGTATTTATCGTAATAATACAAAATATATTGTGCTTAATATACTTATGGTATATTGGTGTTCATTAAACATATGCAGAATTTGATTATAATTTAAATAATCAAAATCACTTTTACGTTTAATGTATTTGTAATTTTTTTATTTATTTATTTGCTTAATTTAGCAGTTTACACTAATCGTACAGTGATAAATTTACGCAGTTCGAGTAATAAAATGTATAAATTTTTGTTCAAAATTTCCAAAATCTGCATTATTTGTTTTATATTCTTCTTTTTGTATGACTGATAAATTTATTTCTATAGTTTTAGTTTTAAGAATTTTCTCAGTTACCTGAACTAAAACCACAAAATTTAATTACGTTTCTATGCGTTATAGTGTGATACTGTAACACTAATCGATGTAATATTGTTCACCTATATTGATGTTTTTTACTATTTTTAGAGCATATAGGTATTTTGATGATTTTAAGTGTATCCACTAGTCTTTACCTGTGTAAGTTATATTTTTAAGTAAAATTACTTTTCCTTTAATATGTATAAACATTTTATTTTTATTTTTATAATTATTAGTTACCATCTATGCAGATTTATAATTGTAAAATGTGTATCTATGGATAATTAAATAAACTCATTAAAAGTATAGCTTGGACTCCATTTTTTGGACATTTATATCCATATTCTAACACTCATTAGAACTGAACAATGACACATAGAAAGAATATTCGCAATATCTTGCTTAAAGGACCGGTTCCATGGACAACGGACACACGACAGCGGACGTTTACGTACCTATGTAGTACTTATCCTGCTTATACAATCGGAGAAAAACTAATTTATTATAACATGTTTTTCTGCTGTTTTACCAAAATGTTGAGTGACTATTTAAGTTCCTCACCTTCGGCAACTGATGATTTATTGTAAAGGTCATAATAAACATAAAGGTAGTAATAATGTAACATAAAACAATCATTTGTTTTTTGTTTCACTTGAGGACTTTAAAATAATTTTATCTCATTATATAACTTGCTTAGTTATAACATTTAAGTGAATTGTGTACAAAATAGCTTCATTTGTAATTTTGACGCAAACTGTGTTGATTTGTCACTAATCTTTGTCTGTAATTTTAGGTGTAGGTACATCACTTAACAATTTTAGGTACGAAATAAACAATATTTATGTAGTTGCAATTCTATGGTTGTCCGTGAATTTTATTCAAAACTGGTGAGAACGAGGATTTTTGAGTTAAGTACTATAGGAGTTTCTAATAAAAATATATGAACGAAAAAATTGGAAAACATTCTACGCGCGAAGTGTATTTATATACGAAATGAATCTGACTTTGTTAAGACAAGCAAACATCCGGGAACAGTTGGGCGACTGATGTCACCATGGTGTTCACCAACATAATAAACAGATCGACAAAAACCAATAAGTAAATAAGTCCCATAAGTGACACTATGAGTAAATATAAATTTATAATTAATTTTAAATATATACTTTTTCTTACTTCAGACTCACAAATCGCTACTGTAGACGATCCAACAAGATCCCTTCAGAATGACCAGTAGCTGTAGTGTATTTTATGTAGTATAAACAAGATCATTCATGGTAATGAGATAAAAAATCGTGTTTATTATTTCCAGTCACTCAAACCCTAGTTGTTGCAACATAATGATTCATTCTAGTGTGTTAAATATATCCTTTTTCTAAAACCGTCTGATTTTGATCAATTACTCAAACATTTTGGAGCTGGAAAATTGAACTTTCCGGACTAGTCAGTTAAAGAAAAGCTGTCAAAATTTCAATTTTTGTTTCTTTATTTTTAACATTAAAAGGTAACATTTAAGTTAATAATTGTATTTTGGATATTTGAAACATTGATAATAGGTAATTTTGCATAGGGAATCGAGGAAGATGAATTCAAAACATTACGTGATTCTTCAGTTATTCTTCCTTATATTTCTAATTTGTTTTCTATTGAATCAGCTATGTACTCTACACTGTTACTCTGTGACCCCCTATGCCTCTTGAGCGTTGTTAAATTTCCTCCTGGGTCTACTAAGAGAGTAGCCGAACTACGGCGCAGGCAATGACCGCTGTATTTTTTAGGATTTCGTAAATTCAAATATCCAGCAACGTAACCTGGGATCTTTCCAAAAGTATGCAGACCTACAGGTTGACTTGTACACTTTTTTTTTGTAATTTAAAAATAAATGACGATGTGTTTTGTGAGACGATCTCAACGCTATATATGTATTTCCTGTAAAGAGCAATATTATCGTTATCTTGGTCATTAACGACAACACAACGTCTTGGTTTATGCGTTTTTGAGTCAGGAATTTGGATTGACGTCATCAATCAACATCTTCACGAGTTCGTCACAACGACACGCCCCAGCCAATGCAATTATTAACGTAATCTACAAAACAAAAAAAAAAGGTAGAAACAAATACTAGTAGTACATCTTTTACTTACTTTCATTAATAAAAGGTTTTGATCAGGAGCCTGAGAAAGAAATTGATAGACTTCCGATTGTGACAATGTTCTGGACTTTTGCGCTTGGTATCCCAGATTTTTTTTAAGCATGCCATTAACTTGGTGAACTTTTTAATGTCAACGTTCTTTTTCAGCAACAATGTAGATCTTAACAAAGAGTGTATACTCCACATAGTCGACGATTTATACAGATTACTTTACGAACGCTATCCACCATGCCTTTTGAGGCCTAAAATATCGACACCTTTGTTCACTAACAAAGTAGCTGAGCTTCTCCTAAATGAATGGCCCACGTAAACCAATGGATTTTGCAAATTTAGGCTCTTTGCAATCTTTGAGGGCCAGCTTCCTATTGTATTTTTGCCTACTGCTTAACACGTGACTTTTCCATTACGCATAGCTAAGAAGAAAGCAACTTGGGACTCTCTTGACTCAACTGGCTGAATAATCCCCTCGTTCCAGAAGGTGGGCTCTATTTAAACCCATACTTCTGCGATCGAGGTTTTTCTCGAATATCCCTCGCGACTTTCGTTTCCAGGCTTTTCGAACGCCGTTCGGCCGCGTCATCGATGATGAGCCATTGCCGTGAATACTAGAAAGCCCATAGGCGTCGTATCAGGGTGGCATAAAGTTTTTAGTGGTTTCCCCAAGTTCTTATTTAGATTTCGTAACTTCTCACGTGAGAAATTAAACTGGTCTACCTATTGATGGATCTAAAACTAATTTTAACCGTTGATCCATTTTGGAAAAAAAGAATTTTGAAAGTTATCATCAGTTAAATTAATATCATCCTGAATTTCTATTTTTATTTACCACCTTCTTTTGAATTTGACGGTATTTGTTTATTTCTCTAAGTGTTTATTTCAAATGTGCTTTGCTCTTATGTGATGTGAGGATTTACTCACGATGTAAATTTGATTAATTCATTTTTAGATATCCAGACCTATATAACAAATTAAATTGAAATTATTTGCATTTATAATGCACCAACTAAAAATGAAGTTCTTCGCTTTTGTTGTATGCTTATGTGTTCGCTACAATCTGTAAACAATTTCAAACTTTATAAACTTCTAATCGGTGTCTGTCAGTCTGAACTTTGCTGATTGTACCTAAATACGTGGGAATGACTAATGTTAACGATTTGGTACCAATCCCTTTCCAAACTATATCGATAGCAATTAAGTCATGTATCATAACATTTTTAACAACACTATTTATGTGATATTTGTTGAGCCGGTCCAGTACCTAAACTTCGAATTTTATTTTGATTTGATCGTTAACTTAAATTAATGAATAATTTAACTTCATGTAATTTCTTGTTGTTTGAAATTGTTGATAGAGAACTAACAAATTGAAATTCATCCATAAGAATGTTAGCATGGCGGGATTTTAACGCAAGTTGGCCCGCCATTTTTTTATTCCGTTCAGACTGAAGTACCTACTTCTTCGTGGGATCAGCAGGTCTTCCGAATGACAGTCCGCGAGAAAAGTGGATTATGCGGCCAACTATGTAACATCCCGCCAGGTTGAGAATTATGTGTTGTAGCTCGCGGATCTCACAAAAACAACGTAACGCTGAACAAAGGACTCGATCGCCTTGATCAGAGCCATCGATCCCATAAACGTAGTCTATGATTTGGACTCCCGATACAGACTTTGGCTTTGTTCATTTTTGAAGGTGGAAAGGGTTTTTGCAGCTGGTTTCCAGGTTTTCGCTCTCCAAAATAGAAAAATACAGTAAATACACCATTTGCTCTCTATATTTTACATTTTGATTTAACAGCACTTTTAGAAGCTTGAGGTTCACCACTTTGCATTTGAACACATTGATCACAGTTCAAGTCCAAATTTTGAATTTTTCGCGGGTTTTAAACTTTTGTGCACATGTTTAATTTTGGCGGGATGTCTGGTTTGCATTTGCGTAGTTGCCCTCGAATGTTCTTAGTTTTGTTACGATTTGAACTGAAGTAATTGTGTTAATATCAGGGGTGGTTTATGACTTGAACAGTTGATGGGACAAAGCACAAAACGCTCCAAAATATAAATAATGCAAGGTTACTTAAATATTTTCTACTTACAGTTAAACAAATATGTAAATTCATTTAACTGTCCAGCAAGAACCAACTTGGAGGTGTAGAGTATAGTCCCTAGAAATACAATGTGTTTTCTAGGGGCTATAGTGTTGAGAACACTTGCCGGGAGAGGCCGGGAATAACAGGACAAAAGGAAAGGAACACGTAGTCAGGAAAAACTAAAAATGTATCCGCTTGATCCGACATTAAGCCCGGTACACACTTGAGCGCACATGCAGTGAAAACGCATGAATATGCGTGCGTTCTCAAGTACTGTGTCGATTTTGGTATTTTTATTTAAACACATGCATGCGTTCTCGGCAGGGCTCAACCCGTACGACCACACACCATTCGAAGTCAAGATGGCAGATAAAGTGGTCATTGCGGGGGCAGCTTTCATCATTATGTATAAACTTGCATTAAACAAGAAAAAGAAGAAAAATACACGATGGTTGATTACACCGCTATATAGTAGTAGAAAAAGTGATTCCAATCTTCTACAGTCCATGCTGATAGAAGAAGATGCAGGACATTTTAAGAATTTTGTTCGCATGTCGTCTGCGGATTTTGAGGTGCTATTGAATTTGATTGGTCCAAAGATTGAAAAGAAAAATACATACTTGAGAAATTCGGTTCCGGTCAAAGAGCGTCTTGCTACAACGCTCCGTTTTCTTGCGGCTGGAGATTCCTACACGAGCCTACAATATCTTTTTAAAGTATCAAAACAGTTAATTTCAATGATAGTGCCAGAAGTGTGTCGTGCTTTAATCGAGGCCCTACAGAATTACGTTAAGGTATGTATATATTTTAGATAATGAAACCATAGTAATTACTTTAATAAAACATTTATAAATTGTGTAAAAGTAACTATATATTAGTGATACAAATTTCCATCGGCAACCGTATTGGTGGTGTTATGATTTAATGACTGCGGACTAAGCATACAGGTATCAGACACATATTGCGATTGGGGTGACAGTAGTGGGACACTGCTAGTCGAAGAGCTGGACCGAGTACCAGTAGCTAACGAAGGATTGGTGGCCGGAGTATCGTAATATCCTATGTCCGCTTCAAACAGGATATTATTAATTGCATGTTCTACATACACCTGTGTTCTGGGAGTGTATGTTCTCAATTTCGCTGCTACGTGTGGAGAAAAAATATTAAACCTATCTGCTGGTAACTGCGATTGCGACATAGTGTACCGATTATGAGTATCTTTCAGCAGTTGCAATGCCTCGTTCAGCTGCGTGTCGCCTTTATCGTGTTTCATTTTTTTAGGCTTAGGTGGTCTTCCACGTGGAGACTTCACATTTTCCGTGGAAAGAACAGGCACATCTTCTGGACCATTTTCTGTTGGTTCACTTGGTGTGTCCTCTCCATAGTCCTCTTGAGACGTACCGGCTTCAATCTGCGAGTCGTCAACTTCATCCTACAAATCAGCTTGATATAATTCCCAACATAATTTTTATTCCCGTTTTGCTTATCGATATTTGCGGTTAGAATTTTAACTATATCTACTTTATAAAAATTAAGTATTAAACTGATCTAGTGTGATTTGTTCTTTTTTTTAGATGCCATCAACGGCTAATGAGTGGGAGGTTATAGCAAAGCAATATGAAGAAATGTGGAATTTTTTAACATTGTGTTATTTGCTCTTATTGACGCGGATTATTATTTTTTGTTTGTGGATGTGGGGTGCCAGGGAAGAATTTCTGACGGAGGTGTTTTCAAACATAGCAAACTCCATAAAATGATGGAAACAGGAAGATTATCATTGCCGGCCGACGGGCCATTAGAAGGGCGAAATAGATTGATGCCCTACGTAATTGTACGTGACGAAGCTTTTCCGCTAACAACAAATATTATGAAACCTTACGCCGGCATGCACAGCAAGGGTTCACCAGAAAGAATTTTCAATTATCGACTTAGTAGAGCACGAAGAGTCGTTGAAAATGTTTTCGGGATTGCGTCTTTAGTTTCCCGATTGTTAAGAAAACCAATGCTACTACAACCAGAAAAGGCAGAAATTATTGTTTCAGCAGTGGTGTACCTGCATAACTTTTTACGAAAATCGCACAACAGGAAATTTTGTCCCTGGTACCTGGAGAACAACGTTAAACGAACAAACTACATCTCTATTATTTCTCAGGAATCTTCCCCGTAGATCAGCAGAAAATACAAAGGCAGTTCAACACGAAATTACAGAATACTTTTCTACTACTGGACGTCTACCTTGGCAAAACAACTACGCTGAAGTTGAATTCATTTTTCATTATACTTACCAGAGTTTCAGTGTCGACAGTGGGCAGACTTTCATCTTTGTCAAGTAAAAACATCATTCTCTGCAAAGCAAACCATTTCGACACATATACTTCCTGGCGTCCTGCAAATGAAGTCATTAAGATATTTTTTTCACTAGCAGCCATGACGCATGCAAATGTCGACTCATTTAGAGGTAGCAAATTCAACTTTTGCGACCACTGGTTCAAAAAGAAAAATTGAGGTTATGTACGCAATGTTTGATGTGATTATTTCTTAAAAAATGAACAAATGTGTGCTACAAACATTACTTGAGTATACGCATGCTAGTTGGTAGACGGTAGAAGATAAAATGATTAACTCAGCGACAAGTATAAACGGTTTTCTTTGTGTTGAAGATTTAGATTAAGTTTGATTAGAAATCAAAACAAAATCATGTTGCGTCAAAAAATTTAACGTTTATTTTTTCAGTTTATTGTCTTATGGTTTCTACTAGTGAAAAAAATAGTATATTAACCACGGTTGCAAAGCCACTTCTAGACCTCGCGCTTCAGAGCCCTCGACGCTGCGCGTCTCGGGTTCTAATTTGCGCTCGGTCTAGAATGCTTGGCTCTGCAACCTTGGCTAATAATATACTATTAATAATTAGATACTGAAGTTAATAAATTTTGTGAAATAATAACATTTTGTTGTAGACTTACCTTTTACACTACCTACTGTTTTTTTTTCCTTTGCTTTTCTGGCTTCTGAAGGAACCCAGCAAGCTATTCATTTTGCTTTTCACCTCTTGCAACTCCATATCCGATTCTGTCGCAATTTCCACCCAAGCGTCATGTTTTTTCTTTTTGGAAAAATATTGTGGATGTTTCGCGGATATTTTTCGTAAATATCCACCAATTCCAAACATTTTTCATGTCTCCACTCTTCGCACATGTGGCATTCGCACTGTCACCGTCCAAACTGGGAACACATGCATGCGTCAACACCTCCTATAGATCATGGTACAATAATATAAGGTATGCTATTGCGCATTTCGTTGTGACGTCAAGCGGTATCGCCGTCCACCGCCAAATTTAAATTTTGTGATGTATGGTATATTCATGTAATATCACTATTTACTTGTTTGCAATAAATACTATTCACTTAATTTTTAATTCTTTATTACCCAATAATCATATACCTTGTTTTAATACACAAATAACATACCATGAGTAAATTCTGAATCAAACAGTCAGAAACCGGCAACGTGCAAGGAAAGGATTACAAAGTGCAACTTTACTATTGTGCCTAATACAGATGACTCAAATTGTGAACAAACAGAACTGACTTTATTTAGAAACGTAAACGTGTTGTAATATCCTGGTGTTAAGGTTAACAGTGAACAATAAAAATGGTGCACTGTGCAGTGTTTGGCTGCTCGAACAGCCAAAGGAAAAAGGAGGATGCGAATGTACACTTTTTTAGGTTCCCGAAGGATCAAAACCTTTGTCAAGAATGGGTATCGTTCTGTAATAGACAAGATACAGTAAATGCCAAAACTGGTAGCAACAATACATATACCTTGATGACAACATCTCTAGCAGTGTTATTTTCAGCGCGTATATGCTCTGTGCATTTTGCTGCAGAAAGTTTGTCGAAGTCAATGCAACACAAACTGTTGGAATACAGCCCTAAGAACAGGAGAAGATTGAAGTCTGATGCCCTTCCAACAGAACGTAGGCCGACAAGTGTAAGCACTACACCCAGTAAAAAAGGTTCTACTCAGGTAGGCACTATTTTGGAAACACCATCCCCAAAAAAGCTACAGAGTCCAAGCAAAAATAGTACGCTTATTAAACACTGTAGAAAAAACATATTTGGGGATGATGTCAGGCCTCTGGTAGAGTGTGATGAAAATTGGGAAGAAAAATATAAAAAAGTAGAAGGGCAACTGCTTCAGTTGCAAGAAAAAAATAAAGCAACTGAAGCTGAGAATGCTTTATTAAAACAACAGGTTAAACAAAAAAATTATGATGCTAAAGTGAGCGAGGCTGTATCTAAGATTTTCACAAAAAGTCAAATCAAAGCCCTCATTACTGGGAAAAGAGTTAAGTGGACAACTAATGATATCTCTGCGGCCATTTCATTGCGTAGCGTTAGCCCTAAAGCATACAGGTATTTAAGAACACAATGCCACTGGCCCCTACCAGGATTGAGTACTCTAAGAAAATGGGCGTCATCTTTCATAATTAATACTGGGCTTCTACACTCTGTGTTATATTTAATGAAAGAGAAGGCGAAAACTTTATCAGAAATGGAACGTTTAACTGTCCTGTCATTCGATGAGATGTTCATTAAAGATGAAATCTGTCTTGATAGATCACTGGAACAAGTGTTTGGGCCTCATAAGACGGTACAGGTCATGATGTGTCGGGGTCTATTTTCCTCTTGGAAGCAGCCCGTGTATTATAACTTTGATGCACCTGTAAACAAAGACGAATTGTTAGATGTTATAAAACAATTATTTGAATGTAAATATATTGTTGTGGCAATTGTTAATGACATGGGACCGAGCAACATGGCTTTTTGGAAAGCAATGGGAATAGATAAGGATCATGTTTCTTTTGTCCACCCCTCTGATCCTGAGAAACTCATTTTTTTGTTTGCAGATGTACCGCACCTTTTAAAATTAATTCGCAATCATTTTTTGGACAAAGGATTTAAACTTTTTGATGAAATGATCACGAAGAATTGCGTAGAGTCTCTGTTAAAAATATCTCAGTCATCAGAATTAAAAATCGCTCATAAAATCAACTCATACCACTTAGATGTAAAAGGCAGCCAAAGGCAAAAAGTCAAACCAGCTGCCCAGTTATTGTCCAACACGGTGTCCAAAGCAATAGAATGGTGTGGTGACAACAAATTAATCCCTGACAAAAACTACAAAAACACGGCGAACTTTATAAAACTTGTAAATGATTGGTTCGACATTTTTAACACAAATATGAAATTTTCCCCACGGTGCAAAACTTTCGGTATTGATTTCCAAGAACAAGTGACAACCATTAACAAAATGACTTCCACCATGGAAAATCTCAGAGTTATCGGTAAAACCAATTTACTGCCCTTTCAAAACGGTATTATAATTAGCAACAAGTCATTATTAGCATTACATCAATATCTGCATAATGCATATAAAATAAATTACATTTTAACACGACGTTTGGACCAAGACATTCTCGAAAATTTTTTCTCCTACATTCGAGGAATGGGAGGAGGAAATGACAATCCCAATCCAATCGATTTCAAGCATAGACTAAAGCGATATATTCTAGGGAAACATTCGTCCGTTGCCATAGCAATCAACACAAATTGCGAAAAAGACAGTGCTGCCTTACTTACCCGAGCAGATGATGATGACGAAGAGATATGTTTAACGGAATCTCTGTTTTCATCGATTATAAATACGCAGTGTATTTATAATGCACCATCAAATGAAAACGAGGAAGGTGATATAGCCAAGTTAGAAATTTTAGATGACTCCAGTGAAGTAAGAGTTCAATTACCAGACAGTCATCTAACTTTAGCGGCACATAAATATGTGGCTGGGTCTGTAGCTCATCGCTTCCGACTAAAATATCCAGGTCTTGGTACCCCTACAGAAAACTTGACTGATACAAGTAAAGACGACTGTGACTGGATTCAATTTCTTTCAAACGGGAAACTATTGATGCCTTGTTCAGATTTGTTAAATACAGCGAAATTGCTGGAAACATTATTCTTAATTTTTCATGGTTCTGATAGTTTAAACAAGGAACCAAATATTTTTAAAAAACTCGCAGAGCAAGTTAAAGAAAACTTACCAAATAGTATCCAAATTCCAGAAGAAGTCTTGCTGTGCTTGGTCCGAACAAGGACATTCATTCGGATAAGAGAAATGAACAAAAAATCATTTTTCAACGACCTACAAAACACAAACAGAAAAAAAATGAAAAAGATTTGTAGTAAAAAATAAACATACTTGCATGGAGATGTTCACTATTGGTCATGAACTACTATTTGTTGATATGTCACTTGTTTGAATTTTATTTCTTGTTCCCATTTATATTAGTATCTTTGAAAGTTTTCTAGTGTTTTTTTAAAGCCATGGTTATCCATACACTTCAACTTCTGGGTTGATGATGTAATATTTCTCATTACAACTCATGAATTTTTGGTGCAATGGAAATCATTACTACAAAATATGTTTATAATAGTTATTTTTGTTTTAAATTTATATTTATATCTATATATATACTTATCTACCATACTACATAGATTTAATGTTACTCTTACATTTACACTTATGCTCCAGAGCTGTTGACTTGTCGAATTTATTGGAGCAGTATACAAGTACAGTTCCCAATTGTTTTATCGCATACAGTAATGTAGTATTATGTTGAGCTTTCATAGTGGATTAGGCCTCCTGGGGATACCACTATAAACAAAAAAAAAAAACGCGCCGTTACTCTACCTCGTAGGTGGTGTGGAAAGGAGTATCATGAACGACTCACAATTATTTCAACCTACAAAATAAAACGTTTTAGCAATATCTAAATTAACAAATTGATAGAGACCTACTTATCTTTTAATAAACTGTACGCGTATTTTACAAATAAAGCAGGAACAACTTCCGCACTTCACATGTGAACGTGAATATATTGTATCGTATTCCCGTTCGGCACGTACTCAATAAATAAAATAATTTCACATGTACATGATTAATTAACATTTTCATCGTAAGGCATCATAAAATATAATGAAAAGTGAGGAAATTGTTGTTTGCAACACAAATGGCAACACATTTTAACCTAACTCACATGACAGATTAACTTGACAAGCATCACAGATCTGTCAGAAAACGGGTGTTTGCAAGGTTACGTGACGTCATGCGGTATCGACGCCAACAGGACGAGATTTCGTCGTTCGGAATAGCAAACCATATATATTTTAGCCATGCTATAGATAAGGCCTGTGCACTAGTTTTGTGACGTCATCATGATGGGTCCACATGAAAATGTCAACATTCTCGAAATTACAAAAAAGCGACAAGTAATCACCATTAATAATGAAAATTTATTTCAGACATCGTTCGTTAGGCTGCATTGTACCGTTAAATGTATATTTGCACAAAAATTTGATAAAAAAACAGACATAACCTAGAATGCCACTTTTAAGAAACAGATAGTTATTAAAGATTTCTTTTAAACATGGATTGTTGCCTTAGATAGTGTTGTTTAAACGGTAAGTAGACTTTTTAGAAAAAATACAACATTCCACATACCAAACTTCTTAACTATAAACTATAAAACTAACTATAAAAATCGGAGGCTGTTTAAGTTTTTCTTTTCAGCTCGGCCATTGGGGTCTTAAAAAACTGGTCATTATGCTTTTTGCAATAATTTTTGAGTAAAATATTGCAAATTGGCCGTAATATAAAATCAACAATTTTGCCTGGGGAATGTTTGGAACATTGATGACCCAAAAACAAATTGTTGACTGATTCGCCTATGGATTTTGCTGCTAAAGTTTTTATTGTAAGGCGTTGATCAATTTCGTCTAAAAAAATTTTTTCCAAGTCTGTATCTATGCACTTCAAGACAGTCAAATATACAAACGCACAGCATGTCACCACATCTGTAGTAGGGTAACACAAGCCCCCTCTGCTACTGGCAGTTATTACACTGCTTCCAGAAAGGAGATCATCAGTTACTAAAAACACCTTACAATAACTACACTTTAACTTTTTGTTTATAGCATATGAGGCATATCCTACAACATACACCAAAACTGGCCATGTATTGTCATCAATATCGTTTAAATCATCATCGCTCACAAGGCAATTGGTGATCAATGTAACAGATACAAGCGGATCTTCATTGGTATCCCTAAAAACTTCATCAGGTGGATCCTCAGGCGTTATTTGAAATTCGCCGTAAGTTTTTGATTTTAAGATCAGTGGCGTTATGCTTTGCATCCGTAGTTTGTTTTCAGATTCGAAAACTTGACGAATAGAAATTTTGTATTGCCCCCCTGCCATTTGCCGATATTTTCCAAACCTTTCTTCCAGTTTATCAGTCTGGATTTTTCCGCAAAGGAAGAATGTCAAATTTTTGTCAGTCAGGCAATAATTGGATAATTTAATTAATCCATCAGTGGTGGTTTCTAGCGCCCACTGTGTCTCAGGTGTTAATTTTGCTGAAGTGTTCATTTTTTTCCATCTCTGCAACCATTCTAGAAATTGTTGTAAATATTCTAAAATGTGTGTCGATGTTTTAGTTATCGGTTCTGCCAGTTCGTTGCGAAGTCTCTTCCCTTTCCACAATGTCTTTACATTTACAACATCCCACCACTGGCATTTCTGAAAAAGTATAAGAATTAGAAAAGTTTCGCTAAAATGATCAAAAAAGTTCAAACAATTCAAATTCAATAATATGTATAACCTAAACTGTTGAACGTCTGGTTTCTAATAATTATGCATTATAATACCACAGAAAACATGAACAGAACACATCGGTACTAACCTATCGGTTTTAAAATGACCAGCAGAGTGTTAAACTACAATAAAACAAAACAAAATTATTTTTGAGCGTTCAAAAATAAAAACGTTAAATTGAATTGTGGCGATAGCGATTGCGACTATGGACTCATCGTGATGACGTCACACGCTGTCAATAGTGTCAATGAGTCTGTGCAACGGCCTTGTCTCTAGAAGGTGTTGCATGCGTAGAGTCCTTTGAGAAATGTCAAAAGACCGATACGTTTTGGCTCGTTACATGTATTGTGCGCTCACAGTGTCTCGTGAAACAAAGAACATGTGTCGAGAAAAGGCGAGAAGCCCGTCCACACTAGAGAACGCATGCATGTCTCATGCGTTCTCGCTGCATGTGCGCTCAAGTGTGTACCGGGCTTTACACCTACGCGTATTGGTGACTATAAAAACTTAGGTTATGTTAGCAACAGCTGCCATTTAAAGAGTGCACGAATGGGAAATTTAACATTTTTTTTTGGTGGCAAAAAGACGCATTTGCACAACATTTAAAGGTGAGAAACATAATCAGAGGGTGATGTGGAAGCGTTTTGTGCAAACAGTTTGTGCGAAATCGAGAAGTGCGTTTTGTAAAATTTTATCCTAATATCCGTTCGCAAAACTCCCGCACTGTCAGAATGACATTCTGTTGGTATGAGAAATAATCCTCTAAAAGATTTTTAAGTTTATATGATTACCGCCTTGAATTTCAAATTTTCAGAATTAATGAATGAAAAATAAAATGTTTATTAACTATTTTACCTTTTTGATTTGCTGAAGTGTTCAATGTGTTTAAAGAACTTGTCAGTAATTCAAACAAATTGTAGCACCAGAAGCGTAGAAATGGACACTAAGGTCAAAAATATATATTATTCAAAAAAAGCTTTCGTTGTCGTTCGTGTGTCATACTCTTTCTTTACTTGAATTGATAAAAATCTTCAGTTAAAATGCTTTTGACATTTTTATTTGACAAGTTATTTTTAGTTACTAATTTGTCACTAGATTGCAATTTTGCAACATATTGTACAGGTTTTTCGCATCTCACCACTGAGTACACTCAGGTCATTTTTTCCAAATCTGACACTGACAGTGCGGGAGTTTTGCGAACGGATATTACATACAATTTGTCATACGTGAGAGTAGAGAAAACACATGACAATTATTTATTAAAAAGTCTACCACACTACCACATCATTCGTGTTCCTAAGAGTTACCTTGGATCCGAGTTCATGCACCTTGCTGGATTCTGGAACTGCCATTGTCATTAAACGTTAGTAGAGAAAAATTTCGATTTGCGATAATTTACTCATAATCTTAAATAACGGTTACCGAATTCAAATTATAACAAGCACAAAGCACTAATTCGACACACGCAAACGTTTAACACAAAACTCTGTTCCCGTAATTTTGAATCAATTTATACACACACATTTTTTGTCGCAAAACAATCAACGGCCTAATTTTGAACACTCCTGCAAATGCACCATGCATTGCAATCGCACGTGGTGCGCGCGCAAATGTCACAATTGCAGGCACGGAAATGAGGCTAATTGGACTAGCCTCAATCATTCCTCAATTTTATCTTTTTTCAACTCATATCGTTTATGAGTGTATTGCAGGTTGGTTGCCTATTTTCTAACGGACATCAATTTTACATCTGCTGTAGAGGCAAGTTTCGAGTTTGCTCTAACAGCGTCAGAAAATGCGTGCTGCGTCGTGTTGAAGCGCGCAGTTTAATTCAAGGAGCAGCGAGTACCTACCTACCTAGATAAGAATAACAGTATAATTTTGCAAATTTTTAAAATTTTAGAAAACAAGTTTTGGGTACGAAGAACGCTAACGTACATTTTTATTTAAAAAACGAGTCGGTTTTGCTGCGCTTGTTTTATTCTCACTGAAAAAATAATTTTTGTATTAATTTACAAAAAATGTTAGTCTGGTCCACAAATGTGTGCACCGCGCGGAAAACAGATAATAATCAACAGAATAAAGTAAATATATGTAAGTGTGATAAAAAAAGACAATTCTATAAACATTTATTTAGTAAAATATTTACAGTTTCAAAACATAATTCTAACTTATTTAAAATAACTAAATTAAATATTTCACGCAAACGCATCTTCTCTATCTGCACCTGCTCCATCTCCATCTTCTAAGGACGAGAAATTAAGGAAATGGGCCGGTCTATGAATTTCGTGATAAAATTCTTTAGGATTAGCCAACTGCAGTTCATATTTCATACTGGGATCGTGACGTACACCTATAAAAACCACATTCAATATAAAAGTTCCTAGGTCGCTAACCAGATCTTTAAAACAAATCCACACATGACAAATTAAAAACTCACCCATAAAGTTGTAATTCCACGACCCTTGCGCCGGAACCATGAAGAATCCCAAAAACCGATCAGACAACAACATTTGAACCTTCTCATAGTGACTTGGAAGGTACCCTTTCGGATTATTCCCTTTATCAGTATTCGCTCTACCCCACTCATAACCAGAAGGTGTCAACTTATAAGCCGTCAAGGAACAAGAACCGGGAGTAAACGAGCACGTAATAATAACGGTTTTTTCGCCATCCCAAGCTGGGTTGTCTGCCATCAATTTGGCATGCGTTGTAATATCCTGTGGTGACAACTGAGGTAACTCATTTGGTTGTGTATGAATCCATCCCAAAGGTTCCATGTCTTTCAAGAATGGATGATTTGGAGGCGTATTTGGGATGTGTACAGTTTGATGTGTTCCCCACTGTGGAGGCAACACCAAGCAACGTAATTCTTTCACTTGAGGATTGTCCGGAGGACTAACACCATACAAAAAGGCACAAATTTGAGCACGCAAGTCCGAAATTGTGACAAACTTCTTCAGAACATTCTTAGGCAAAATGTATGTGTACCCAGTTTCTTTGATATCATCTGAACTGACGTAGATATGGTTAGTTCTCAAGTGAAGATTCGTCGCAGAAATAGCTCTGACTCTCCATTCAGTCTTTGAGCTGAACGTCTGTGTTTCGTAGTTACTAGTTGTACTTGTAATGATTTCATCTCCATGTTTGTTCACAGTTCTTGTCGTCGTAGCCGTGAGTTGGGATTGCTCTTTGGTTTGTTTTTCAATTTCCGCAATCTGTTGCCTCTGAGCTGACGGAGCGCTGATTTCCATACCCAGGATGATGTCGCGAATTTCGCTCTGAGTTAACGATGCCACGTTAACGCTGAAATAAAATTAACAGTTAGATGTGTTTATTATCACTCATGTTTAATCTTACTTGTTCTTCTTGCCATAATCTGCTAAAATAAGATCCTTCAATTGAACTTCCACTTTGATCCATTCATCATCAGAAAGTGTCGGCCAAATATGATGTGGTTCCGTGATTGTCGTCTTATCAGGCTTGAGAATAACTTTTGTGCGTTCAGTGTTGACATGCAAGGCTCTCAAGATTAAAATCAGTCGGGAGAATGCCTACAAATCATAACAATAAATACACATACAAAAAATATATAAAAGAGACTCACCGTGTATGACGAAATAGTCTTCAACCAGTCATCGTACAAATTGAAAAGAACCATTTGCGGTTCAGTAGCTTTCAAGATAAGGTCACCAAACTTCTCGATCTTCAAGCACGCTTGGAAAGGCAATTGTAATTCTGATCCCTTAATGACGATGTTCGGGAAATCAAGAAGATGGACCTCGAGTGGATCCAACATGCCTTTTCTGGTCACAATGATCTGTTTTGGTTGTTCTTCAACGGGTAGAGATCTAATCAAAGCGGCGACTTCTTCAGCAGTTTTCCATTTAGCCAACTGCAATTTTAGAAGTAATCTTTTAAAAACAGTATAATATAAGTTGGTATGTATTCCATTATGTGGAAAGCAAGAGATAGCATAATAATTCTATTGTCAAATTATAAAAACTAAGTATATATATTTTAATAAATGCGAATTTGTTTTAAACATTTGTGGAAGTCTGAAAGTTACGAGTAAAAAATTTTACTGCAACCCGGGTTGTAGACATTAAGCAGCTACTATCTTAGGCTATTTTTTTCTTCAATGCTTGGAAAATAAATGTCTGATTGCAACAGTTTTGACGTCAAATATATTTGCTTTTCGTGCAAAAAGCCTATATTACCTATTTCGTGACGATCCGGTTTTGTTGTATTTTTACTCTTCAATAAACAGGTTTATCACATTTAGAAGATTGATTTAAAAAAATTGGGAAAATGGGTTGATAACATCCTTCATCGCATCGGAAGAATTAAATTATACTTTTAGATTGAATTTCTTTGAAAAATATGCATTTACATATTATTCCCATGAATATATTTATCTCTTGGGAAGTGAAAGTGTATTGAATGACAATTTAAAAAATTGGTCTAAGAGTTAGACAGTATTTGGGTTGTCCCCTGAAGCGTGACCAATACCCCGTGCATGACAGGTTAGGTACCAATCCCATTCTTTTGCTCCACTCCTGTATATCTGCTTTGTTTTCTAATCACAGTAAAAGCATTTCTCAAATTTTAAATTGGAAACAGATTATGATACCACAGGTAAAGGATTCAGCGAAATTTTATCAACAAAATTGAGATGATTATTTAAAACAAATAGGTTAATTTCACACATGTTTTAAATAACGATTGTTCAGTTTGATTTGTTTGTTTAGAATAGCGCTGAAGAAGGCTGAAAAGTAGGTCAAAACATGTACGCTACAATATAACATAATTTTAATAAAAGTGAAGAGCTAGCGGATAACCTCTAAATTATCTTTTATGTTCTCCGTTTCCGTCTGTCTGTCTGTTTGGTGTCTGTATCCATTTTTATTAGACACATAATCTTCGAAATTACCGGACCGATTGTTATCAAATTTTGTATGCACATTAGGAATATCATGGTTAAACGCTAACTAAAATTTGTTTAATCATCCCCACCAAAAACGTGATGCCATATCCCCAAATTTTTTAACAATAAATATTTTTTTAATTTTATAAAATCATACACTCCTACACTCGTAGTTTACGGACCCGCGTTTAGTTTTAATCACAATTATTTTACAAAAATGTTTCTGAAATATTCGCTGCGTGTTGTACATAACCGATATCTCGCGCGCGTCTGAACAAATACCTTGTAGCGGCATGGGCTGGAGCGCCAACCAAGCGTTCGAGTAAGGTCTGCACTAGTGAGGTTCGAATCTAATTCTCATTCCCATCCCCGTTACATCTTTTTTTTTTAGCAAATTAAGAACGGTTCACCACATTTATTTGCAAATTACAGTAAAGTCACACCGCAAATAATTCGAATTCTTTCGAAGTATAAACATAAATACTCGTAGTTAACCATGTAATTACTAAAAGTTAATTTTTTCGTTAAATACATATATTTTCTATCGTTCGCACTTTTAAAATTTTATAATTGTTCAAAGCAGCGGATTTGTTTCAGGACCGAGGGAAGTTCTGTTGAAATAAATTTTGACCAATTTTTCCAGACAGAAATGCCACATTCAAATTCAAATAGAATGTGGTATGTTTTTAACTGAGTTACACAGATAATACTTTATACAATACTACAATATTATTTTTTTTATATTACGAATCTAAAATATTTTTAACGATTTGTCTTCAAATAACTGAGAAAATCCAAAAATCCCCAAAATTTCCAAAAAATTTGAAACCGTTCCAAATGGCTTTATTTGAGAGGAAAGCATTGAGTTTTTAGTTTTATAGAGTATTAATCGCAGATTCATCTTATGGAATATTAGACTCGCCCTCCCACCCTCTATTTTCTTAGAGTATGTCATTTTCCATAAAATGATTTTAGCAAGTAATAGCTCCGCCCACCCTCTCTCTACTTTATTAGGGGGTATGTTACTTGCTAAAATCTTTTTTTTTTCTTAGCAGATACTAGCCCCGCCCACCCACCCTTTATTTTCTTGGAGGAAATGTCATTTCCCAAAATCAGTCTTACCTTAGCAAGTAGTTGCCCCGCCCACCCACCCTGCATTTTTCCTAGGAGGGGTGCCATTTGCCAAAATCAGTCTTATCTTTGCAAGTACTATATTATATATTGAAATGGCAAAATACATTATTAAACAATAATTAAATAGTACTTGCTAAGATAATACTGATTTTGGCAAATGACATATCCTCCAAGAAAATAGAAGGTGGGTGGGTGGGGCTGGAATTTGATAAGATAAAACTGATTTTCGCAGTTTTGACACTTTCGACTATTTTTCAACTATTTCCGAAAATTAGCGAGAAAAGTGAAAAAATTTTTCGTAATTTTCAAATATTTTTTGTCTGAAACAGTTAAAAGACGATCTGACCCAACGGAAAATAGTTGGCTTAGGTAGATAAGTTTTCGCAGATTACGATCTAAAATATTTTTGACGATTTGTCTTCAAAAAACTGAGAAATGCGGAAAAAGGACTGCATAAATCCCAAAATTACCAAAAAATTTGAAACCGTTCCAAATGGCTTTATTTGAGAGGAAAACATATTGAGTTTCTAGTTTTATGAAATACTAGCCCCAACCACCCACCCACCCTCTATTTTCTTAAAGAGTATGTCAATTGCCAAAAATTGTCTTATTTTAGCAAGTACTAGCACCGGAAAAAAACTCCTGTTGGAGGCCATGAAATTTATTTTTACAATAATGATGTTGGTAACACCAACACGTTGCTTATTCGGTGTGACTGTGACAGCCAAAGAACAATGCCCACACCATTATTTTTAAAATCAATTTCATTGTCTAGATAGGATTTTTTCGATCTGAATTTGACTTTTTTTAATTTATCTTAAAAAAAAAATTAATATATTAATTGACGCAAAACACTAAAAATAAATAAGTATACTGGAAAATAACATTTGTCAGAATTTCCGGAAATAGATGAGTCCACGACAGTTTTTTTTTTACTGAGAAATATTTCAATGCCAAATCACTACTAAAAAACACGTAAAATTTCAGAAACACCATATTCGATTTTAAATAAAATAGTTGATATAATTTGCAGAAAAAACAGCACAGACAGATATGTAATTATTTTATGGATTTTTCACTTTTCGATCGTAGAATAAAGAAGTATTGATAGCATTCATCCAACAAATGGACGTACTTTCATGTTTTCTCGACGTCTCATGACCCCAAGAGCACGAAAAATTAGGTCTCGCGGTTCCGTCTGTCTGTCTGTTGTCTGTGTCGATTTTTATTAGACAGACACTCTCCAAAACTACTGGACCGATTTTTGACAAATTTTACATGTATTTTAGGAACATCATGTAAAACGCTAACCAAAATTTGCCTAATCGTCGCCCGCAACAATGTGATGACATCCCCTCCAAAGTAGTACGTGGGATTTAAATTTTATAAAATAATATATTCCTGTACTTGTTACTTATGCATCCGCCTTGAGATTTTCCCCGAGGCATCCAAATTTTCGCAAAAAAAGAACCTTTTTTTTAGTTAGCTTATTGCCTTCCGAAATGTAACGAGAAAATCACGTACATTCGAATGTGGCGTGGGGTTTTTTATTTCTTACATTTTTGCTACTATTATCTACATTTTTCATTGATCAAATCGTAAGAGCGGTACACCCCTTTTTTATTAGTATTGCACTGCACGTGTCGGAGTTGACATACGTATCCTTGATGATCGACACATTTTCAAATGGGAAAAAGCACATTAGAAATACATAGCCTTGCCCTTTATCAATACATTAATATTTTTGGGGCAATTGTTAATCGGTTTCCTATCCCGGGCGAAGAAGTGCACTCAAAACCAAATATAAACATGTGTTATATACAGTGAAGGTGTATGAGTGATTAAAATATGATTAATGTATTCTGAAAAGCAAGCGCCGTAAGAATCTTTAAAATATATAGTGTCATTAAAAAAAGTTGGGTGTCACGTTTTACCAACTTTTAGTAAGTCCCATGTATTGGTATTTTGTTACAAATTAGAGACGATGATTTTGAAGAGATGAAATAGGAAGAACTCAAAGCACTCTTACGAGTTTAATGCATACTTACTTGACCTAAACGTTTCTGGCCTGCCCACACAGAAGTATGAATAATCTTCAAAAACAGTTGCCCTGTTCTTGGGTTGAAAATAAATATAGCGCCGTTGATTGGTTTGGTCGTCAAATTGCCCTCAAATGTCTTGTGGATCGTGACTCTGTACACATTAGTATCATCAACAAACCAGATGATCTGGTTGGAGAACAACTCTCCATAGTTCTGACTGGACAAGTAAGGTTCAGTCGGTTCACTGGAGTATAACTGCAAGGCTTTTCTTATACGTTCCCTCAATACATATAACGCAGGATTAGCCTTCATAATCTTAGCCATAGCTTGTTGAATTAAAGGTTTGCAACCCGGGAACCAGTTGCCGTAGGCGCTGTAAACGAAATTTTAAATAAATATTTCCGTATTTGACACTATTAATTTACCTGTGCAAATTGTAGGCCAAATCGATAGCAATTAGGACTCCCGTGGGTGACGGATAAATAGACATGTTGTCTGTGGTGTAATCTAGGAACTTAGCACGAGCGTATCTCTCAATATCATGGGAATCATAATCGCCCCATCTCAGCTGAACATCAATCCAGTATTTCTGAGTTGTAGTGTTGTCCATTGTGTCTCTAAAAACAACAAAAGGTAAGTAATTGAAGAAACAAATCCAGATACAACTTACTTAGTATCAGCCAGCAATGACGGTCTCGAAACATTCCACTTATAAGCTGAAAAGAGCAAAATATCCGCACACGAGGAATTCATCTTGTATGACTTCCTAGGATGGATAGTTTCCTTCTGGACTGTTTCGATTTCAAGCGCGTCCAATTCTTGATCAAAAACCTAGATACATCAACATGAATACTTCTATTAATTAACACTACAAATAAAACTTACTTGACAAAGATCCATCACAATAGATTCGTGCACTTTCTGCCACAAGTGAGCACGGAAAATCTGAATCAAAGAAATCTTCAACGTCGGGATTTTACCGTGCATGAAAATACCAGTCAAATCGAGCTGTACTTGGAAACCAACGTAAACGTTAGCTCGGTTAATAGTGGGTGACCACCATAACGTAAATCGACGGTTTGGAATCTGATTTAAACCAGACCTTTGGGCGTTAGTTAACTTCTTGTATTTCATCGACTCTTCAAAACCAGAAGCCTTTTCCCTGTTATTACACAAATTAATATTTGTATGAGTACAATGAATCAAAACTTACCAGAAAAGACCCTCCCACGTTGGGAAATAGGTACCCTTGAAGAGAGTATGTTCCAAGATACCCTCAACACCACCAAGAGCCTGGATCATGTCAGTACGGTAATTATTCAAGTTCCATAATTTACCGTCGTGTCGCTGATGCGTCCACCAGAAAGGATTTTGTTTCAGTACTTGGTACTGTTTGAACTCTGTACGAATTCTCCAACCCTTGTCATAAGCCAAAGTGTGTCGGTCTTTTTGGAACAAAGTGTTGATTCTGGGTATACCTCTATCCCACGAATCTTCCAAGTCCTCTAGGGTCAGACGCCTAAATACACAACAAATTAGCAAATGATGTGACTTATTTAGTCTTCACGTTTTACCTATTCTGAGCGTTGGCTTCTTGTCGTTTGAGCGAATATTCGGCCCAAACTCTTTGAGAATCGATGAATTCGGATTCCCATGGTTGAATGTATCGGTACAAATTAGGGATAAGTTGATCCTCGTCATGGCTCATACCGGAACGGAAATGCGTGATTCCTACGTCCGTTTGCTTAGACCACCTTAAATCAGACTACACACAAAATTAATATTTTGAAAAAACAACAAAACGATAATATTACCTGTGGGATTAAAACGTGACCCATTGATAGCATACCAAGTCCACCCAATTCTTTCGGGGTGTAAAACACTACAGGTGGAAATCTGCTTGGCATTTTTGAATTGAGACCAATCTTGATTCGAGTTTGGATTTTGTTTTCGCACTTGACCAAAAGGTCTAGTAATTCTTGAGTGTTGACGACGGCTTCTCTGAAGTACGTCATTAGACCAATTAACGCAGTATTCCACTTGTTCACAATCTGTTGAAACATGAAAAATTAACAAAATACTAATTTTAGATGAACTGAAATACCTTTGTGAATGTTGTTGAACCGGAAGCCATCAAAATTTGTCTCACTCGATTGTGGAAGCGGCTCATTGACTCGTCATCAACTCTCAAGAAGCACTGAGCCGTCCTTTCCTTACTACCTTCGTGTTGTAAATTCCAAACGCCGTCGCGGTGGGTGAACTCTTCGTGTTGGGTGCGACACTGAATTTTGAATTGTTAGAACAAGTTTAATTAAAAATGACACAATACTTACTTTTGGTAAAATTCTGCACTCGAATCCACACATGTTGAAAAGAAGGTTGGGGTTATCTTTGGAATATACGCTAACGAAGCTGTTTTCCCATTGAATAGTGGTGACGGATCTGGGTAGACGGTTCTTGATGTCCCAAAATACGGCACGGCCCCTGCATAAAAATTGTGAGAAACACATTATTATTTTTTCAAAAAACTTACAAATTCACGTCGTGTTTCATCAATCGCATCCTTGCATCTCTAGGCCAGCATTTTTTATTGTTGTAGCCAACAATATTTTCATTGTTTGGATCGGGATGTTCGGTTAAGTATCTCTGAATTAGCTCTCTAGCTTCGTCTGCGGAAAATCTGAAAAGGTAGTGAGAATTTAGCGCATGGGATTAAAGTAAGGTACAATCAAAATTTTATACAGTTGTGTAAAATATCAGAAGCGCATTTATCCAACCAATACGGTACCGACCTACATCAGCAAACGTATTGGTTGCTGACTTACAGTGTAGTCAGCTTCAGGACCCCTGCGCGTTTCATCACTTGTGTCTTTAATTATAGCATAGGTTAAGTACAGACAGAAAATCATCAATAAAATACAAATTATTGAATGAAATGTGCCCGCTTCTTTGAAAAATTATAAAATTATATTAAGCGATGTTTGTTTTGTGATACCTCTACAATGTAAAAGGCAACGCCCTGGGGGCGCAAATTCTAAGGGGACCCTTTTTATCCTATTATGAATACTTGGCTAGAAAGGTTAATTTACATATTTTCAATCCTTTAACTCCTGTTGAGATATTATTTGCGCTCAGACATATTATTTAATCTAATACCTAATGAATAAATCGTAGTATTAATTTTCAACAATACTGTAAGCACTGTTGATTCCAATAAGTATAGTTTCACACAAAATTAATTATGCCAGTGGATTTTTAAATTTTAAACAACTAGATATAAGATTCGATGATAAATAGGTACAACGTACCGTACACTTTTGAAATTACTGAACGAACAGAAAAACAAAATAAGTATGAAGAACTGATACTGAAAACAACATGGCCGTCCGGCGGGGGCGTCCTTTATATGTAGGTGGCTGACTGGCTGCTAGTCATAAATTACTGGAACGCCCGGAAGTGGCCAGTTTTACATTTTGCGCAATCTCGAGATCATATGTGCCGACAAACACTCAGACAAAGACGAAATTGCATTTTTGTAATAACCAAATCAAAACCAAAAAATTTTACTTTCTTTTACATTTAGGTTAGAAGGGACCCCGTAACTTCAAAAATTTTCATTTTTAAATGTAACTTATTCACACTCAAAGTACACAATATTCGAATTGTTTCAACAAATGTATTTATCTTAATTGTAACTTGAACGACAGTATTATTCCCCGAGCGTAAGCGAAGGATAGTAATCGAGTCCATCGGCCGAATTGCCACTTTCATATTGTCTCGACGGGTCATGACCTGTAGAATACGAAAAAAGTGGTCGTCCGTTTCCGTCTGTCTGTCTGGTGTCTGTGTCCATTTTTATTAGACGAGTAATCTCCGAAACTACTAGACCGATTGGTCTCACATTTTATACGTATATTAATATCATGTAGATGGTTAAACGTTAACTAAAATTTCGCTAATCATCCCCACCGCCAATGGGATAACGTCATCTCCAAAATGTATAATAAAAAGTTTTTTAAATGTCATACAATAAGATACTCTTGCATTTGTGGTGTACGAATCCGTGTCGAATTTTCAGGTTGACGTAATCATGGTAAATAAATCATTAAGCAAAATTTACTCGTTTATCCCTTCCCAAAAAATGAATACGTCATCTAAAAATTTTGCCAAATAAATCCTATCTAAAATGTGCAAAATATGGTGAGTCTATACTTGTCATTTATTTATCATTGCGGGAAAAGTTTTTATATTTCTTATACAGGGTGACGCATAAAATTAATGAATGAGTAAATGTATTTTACTGATTAAGTCGGGAACGGCTCACTCCGTTTTCCCGAAAATTTGGGAATACAATACTATTATCATTAGTATCATATTGCACCTATCCAAAGTGGCATACGTGTTTTTGCAAAAATGTTGATGACGTCATCACAAATATTATTAAGGAAAACTCATTTGAAACGTACGCCCAGCACGCTTCTTTACATTTACTTTAACGTTACATACATATCTTTATTTTAACATATAATTAAAAAAAAATAATAACATTCGCACAACCAAATTTTATGTAATTGTGCAAAAACCTGGATTTGTTTTATTGTATTTCAGAGGCGAGGAAATTCTGTCGAAACAACTTTCGACCAATTTTTTAAAAATGTAAAACCTTCTCGGGGGCCCCAAATGTCTTTTTTTAAGAATGTAAAAACTTCTGGGGGTCCCAACTGTCTTTTTTTCAATGTGAAACCTTCTCGAGAGCGCCAAATGTTTTTCTAAGAATGTGAAACTTTTTCGGGGGTCGCAACTGTTTTTTTTTTTTATTGTAAAATCTTTTCGGAAGCCCCAAATGTTTTTTTTTTTTTTTTTTTTAAGAATATGAAGCCTTCTCGGGGATCCCAAATCTCTTTTAAAAATGTAAATCCTTCTCGGAGGCGCCAAATATCTTTTTTAAAAATGTAAAACCTTCTCGAGGGTCCCAAGTGTTTTTTTTTAAAATGTAAAATCTTCTCAGGGGCCCCAAATGTCTTTTTTTTAATGTGAAACCTTCTCGGGGGTACCAACTGTCCTTTTTTAAAGAAGGCAAAACCTTCTCGGGGGGCGTAAGTGTTTTTTTTAAGAAAGCGCAACCTTCAAACGTATTTTTCTTATGTTAAAGCTTCTCGGGGGTCCCAACTGTCTGTTTTAAAAATGTAAAATTTACTCCGGAGCTCCAAATGTCTTTTTTTATGAGAAATTTTCTAGCGAGTCCCAACTGTCTTTTTTAAAAATGTAAAACCTTCTCGGGGGCGCCAAATGTATTTTTTTAAGAATGTAAAACCTTCTCTGGGGTTCCAACTGTCTTTTTTAAACATGTAAAATTTGTCGGGGGCGCCAAATGTATTTTTTTTTAATTGTGAAACCTTCTCGGGGGTCCCAATTGTCTTTTTTAAACATGTAAAACCTTCTCGGGGGCGCCAAATGTATTTTTTTTAAATTGTGAAACCTTTTTGGGGACTCCAATTGTCTTTTTTAAAAATGTAAAACCTTCTCGGGGACCTCAAATGTATTTTTTTTAAGAATGTGAAACCTTGTCGGGGGTACCAACTGTCCTTTTTTAAAGAAGGCAAAACCTTCTCGGGGGTCCTAAGTGTTTTTTTAAGAAGGTGAAACTTTCTTTTTTCTACTACACTGTAACTAGTACCTTCCATGTTGTTTTTACTTCATAGAGGTTATCACGAAAAAGTAAAATTCCGCATCCAATCAAATTTTATCATTTTTCAGAGGAACACTATTTGTTGGACTGTCCTTCAGAAGCAATTTTTGTTTTGTTTGATAAAATGCAATCTTTACATCAATTTTGATAATTAACTAAGAAATACTTTAATAATAACAATATGATCAAAGTAACATCCTATTGTTATTATTTGTACGTCAAAACTACAATTTATGAAACTTACCTGAAGAACATGTGTATCTTGTCAACGTATCTGCAGTACAACCTAATCGGATGACACGTTTCAGTGGAAACATCCTGGAAAGTCAGAAAATCGTTTGGCATCTGCGGAGGTCCTGCCATTTCACTCGCCCTCTGCAGACCCAGAACCAACAAATCCAAAACCAGTCCATAATACTGAGTTATGAACGAAGCAAACTGCAGACCTCGAATAATCCCGTAACTGTTCGTATGGTTCATATCTTTGTAATTGATCACGACGTTATTCTTCGCGGTCATGTAATCAGCAATATTATGATCGACAATCAACCTCAACAATCTATTCAACAGAGTCAAATCGATCTTCTCGTATAACTTCTCAAACTTCGACTCCAACAAAACATTGCATTCTCCTTCTGCCACGTCCCACACATCTTGCAAGTTATTAATTCCTTGACACCATTTATATACCAATAATGGCGGTGGTTCGGTATCGGCAGGTTTTATCCACGGTGGGAAAAGCCTTCTTTTGTCTGCTTCATACCACAGGTATTGGTCCAAATAAGCGTCGGTTATTTTCTCGAGTGGTTCCACGTCATACACGGGTATCAGATGGCTGTATAAATCCATGAACTCGATTCCTACTTCTTTGAAAGCTCTCTGTGTTAGCAAGTGACGCTTTATTCTGGATAAAGCTTCGTGTGGATTGTCGTAAGCCTGTTCTATGAGACCCAACTCTTCTCGCTGACTTTGATTTAGACGAGACTTAACACTGTAGGCTTCTTTCAGACGCTCGAGCGCCAAAATGAGGAGTTTTGTGTCGTGCTTGTAAGAAAGAGGTGGGAATGGAATTGGGGCGAATCTTCTTGATTCAAGCCAGTGAACGGTTGTGGTGTAAATTGCGACAGCTTCTTCGGGGCTGATGTAGGGTCCATCCTAAAAATTGACAACGCTATTTCAAAACAAACAAAAAAAAGCTCCAACTGTTTTTTTAAATTATTGTTTATAATGATTCATAAAAAAAATTGAGTAATTAACAAAAAAAACCTTACTTTCAGGTAATTATGCTGGCGTTCTTGTTCCGACTTCAGATACAACCTCGTAAGTCTTCCCAAATTCTTTTTACAAACTGTTTTATCAACAGTTGCACCTCTCCTTATCCTTTCCCTGTTGTAATGAGCAGTATTCGTCCACCAATCTGCCTTCATTTTCACATACCGCAAAATCATATTTTCTATAGGAATGGGTAAACCAGGTACCTAAAACACGATCATTAATAAAACCATGTACAAATCTATTCCTCTAGAAATAAATGTGACTATTTAACAGTGTGTTCAGAAGCGCATTATCCAACCAATACTCCGCCGACCTACGTCAGCAAAAGCATTGATTGTTGATCTACAGTTTGATCAACTTCAGGACCCCTGCGCGGTTCATCATTAACAAACAACTAAATCGATAAAAAATAAAGCAAAGACTCACTTTCCACGGAATATTGGCTTTCCAGCAGCGCCATGCCTCTGATAAATGCTGCAAAATAGTCCTGGCCTTATTCTGTTTGATACCTTCCGGCATCATGTCAACAATATCGTGCATAACGGATGCTCTCAATTCAAGATCGAAATGAGATTCAACGCGTTGCTTCGTCACAGTTTTAGCAACTCCTTTTGAATGTCGACCTTCGAATTGACGTGATAACAAGTTACCAAGCCAACGTTCGAGTAGAGGTGTGATTCCTCTCATGAAGAAAAGCCACACCCTCCAACCTGGAGCCCAACAACCACAACCAGGCCCTTTTCCGACAGGTCCCTAAAAGTTACAACATTTTTTGTCATGTTCAAATTAAACTGAACTAATACTTACAGTATTGAAACGGTAGTAGATCAAGTGTTTCAAATCTTTGCACATCCTGATTTGCCTCATCAACTTGTACTTATACCTGTACATACCAGTCAACTGACCCACGTGGGCAAAAATGTACTGAAGTCCATCAGCCAATTGAAAAGCGTCCACGTTATTTAAACGGTATTGTACGTGCGAATCGATTATTAATTTTGTTAGTCTAAGAATCTCTCTACACAAGTGGAAGGCTACAAAATTGTAATTTAATTTTACTATTAACTCAAAACCAAATCATACACACCATTTCCGAATCTTGACTTCTTTCTCTCTTTGGTAGTCAAGGTCTTGACAGGTTTCAGATTGAAGTTGTAATCCAAATGCAAATAGTTCAAATTCTTGCGGTGAATCAACAAATTAAGCATGTTATAGCCTTGTCTACAAACCTGTAGACCTGCCTCCACCCAATCTAGAGTAGTTGTTTGGAAAAATTTCGTCGATTTGAACGAACGGAACAAATAACGTTTTTTCTGAGCTTTTGGTGGTCGATGTTTCAAAGCATTGAGAACGTAGTATTTTAGCAACTTTTGATAACTCACTCTGACTTTGACGGGTTGTCCTGGAGGACAATGCTCCATGTACCAGGTCTTAACTAAAGGAACATCAATCGCTCTACGACAACGTCCTAAAACATTTAATATTTGAGAAAACGTATTTATAGTGAAAATTAGAATTTACCCGAGCGCAAATTAAACGGTCTTGGAGCCCACAACAAGGCGATACCATTGGCAGTATTGTCAGTATACAGGGGTGTTTCTTGCAAAAATGGTTGAACGTGTTCGGGTAGAACATATTCCTCGTCATCTTCGGGTAAGGGTTCTAAACTTTTGACCGCGTGTCTATGTGAAATCGGGTTAATTAAAGGATCGAAGTAGAAAGCGGGCAAGTCTGGATCTTCTGTTTTGATATACACCACGTTTGGAGCATGGTACCTACGAATTTAGGCTACTTTACAACAAATTTAAAAATCATTTTTCATCTTAACGAAGGTAAGGTATTTTATAAGTGTACCTAATTTTAAAAATTATGTATACATTTTCTTTATTTGGAAACTTTAAAGAAGTTTAGTTTACATGATGAATGAAAGTAATTGAACTAGTAGAAATCTGTGATTTTCGTTTATAACAATCATTTTTGATAATAGTATAGTAAACAGAAATGTTTTCCACTTTTTACTTCCCGAGAGTAAGCATTGCAAGAATGTAACAGGCTAATTTAATGTTTTCCCGACTTAAATAGGTCTTCCATTTTCACATGTCTATCGTCTGTTGGTGACTTTATTAAACAAGTAATCTCCGAAACTACTGGACATATTATTATGAAATTTTAGATGTAACTTAAGAATATCTTGTAGCTATAACTACATGGCAAATCGCTAATTTTAAAAACCTGAAAACGTAATGTCAAAATGTTGTTAAAAAAATCCTCGCTTGAAATATACTATAGTTTTCTTTTAACAAGGATTATCACACAAAAAAAGAACATTTTTGTAATTAAATTTTATAATTTACCTAAGAAACAGAATTTGTTTTTTTAAATATTTTAATGTTAATTACAAAATTTTTCTTGGTGTCATAAATCTGAATTTCACCTTTCCACAATGTAACAAATTTGAAAATTTTGCTTTTGTTAATTCCACTTCAAATTTCATAGTTTTCAACTATAAAATAAAATAAAAAAAAACAACTAAAAATAAGTGATAAAATGTATGTGATCTATCAGCATTTTCATATAAACTTAAGGATGAAACGAATACCAAATCACAATTAATCTTCCACACTGCTAGTATGTTTGTTCTAAACTTTTGAAACAAACATAAAACAAATGTGGTGTTAAAATAGGAAAAAAAAATAAGACAACTTACCATGATAGATGTACAAAATGTGGCATATTGTTGTACAAATATGGAAAAGCTATCCTATATTCAGTTCTGATGGGTTGCCTAATTATAATTTTATTTATGTCATTAAATTCATTCCAATCTTCATCACTAAAACAGTTTAAAAAAATATATAATAATTTTAAGTACGTCAACAATTACAACTTACGCTGGATTCATATCTTTGATCAATGGTTCAAACTTCGGCCCTCCAGGTATGGCCATATTTAAAGCTTTTGCAGTGAAGAAGCTTTTAGTGTCAAAAAGATAAAAATAGTTATTATCAACCAAATCAGTCAACAACTGATTTGCTAAACGATACAACGTCGCCATCATTGGCAGCGTCAAGTTCCACTTTCTGTATGTAGGTCCATTCACATATTTAGTACCAACTAATGGTTTGTGATCGTAAAACCATTTTGCGACTGCTGCATCTTCTTCCGCATCCAATTCAATTTGAATGGCTTCAAGGGGTTCTACATCCAAAACGTTATCAGCGTAATCTAGAGGAGGTTCTTCATCATCGAATGGTGGAAAACGCATTCGTTTGAAATGACGACGATCGCGTTTTTCTCGACGCATCATAATCCACATTGTGCCCCACTGCGCTATGTACACTGGTTCAATCACCCATGGTATTTCATTAACAAAAGTAATGGCCCCAGTAATGTGATACAACACTTTGACGTCTCGAATTTGTTCCCAAGGCATCGGCATGTTTTCTAACAACTTCATCACAGCGTGTGGCATATATTTAAGAGCCCTGTTAATAATTAATTATGTGAAATGAAGCAGACAAAATGTTGTGATCATACCCTAAATAAACACGTTTATCATGCCGATATTTACGACTGCTCATATCACCATGATCCCTTATAATTTTTCGAATATGCTCTGGAGGCATATCTTCCTTTTGGGCATCCACGAACCCCAACTTTCTTTTGTCGGCAAATCGCTTCGACTGAAGTTGGTGCCACTTTTGTGCTTTTTCTTGAAGCTTTTCTTCCGTCATCACATCTGATTTTGGATGAGGAGGAGGTATTTGTTGCTGAAGAGCATGAGCGTGTGCCTGGGCCGCAGCTGCTTGGGCCTGAGCGTGAGCTGCGGCCAGGTGTTGTTGGGCCATCATGGCCCATGGATTTGGCCCCAATAAATACGGGGGTAACGACATTCTGGAATGTTTTTAACAATTTAAAAATTACGAAAATTAACACCGAAATAAATAACGTTCGCAACTGGATGTGATATGAGTACATTATACAAACGAAAATTTGCCGACACTAGCTGTGTTTACACGCGGACATTTCTGGCGTCCTAAAAAATGTAAAATACTTGCCTGGATTCAAAGCAGTAGAGGCATTGAAATTCTGGTAAATTTACTTTTTTACAGTATCATTAATTAACTAGAAGCACATTACGTTCGGTATACGTTCACAACACCGCTACCGCCATTTTCTTTCATTGACAGAAGCAGGGGAAACAGAAACGCATTTTTAGACAAATTGCGCAGGTGAATTACTGCGCATTTTGTTCATTTCAATGGTGTATTTATTCCACTTTCGGATAGATGACGCTGCAAAAACTGTTAATTTAAAAACCTAAAGAAGAGAGGTTGATGAAACCTTCGCTTAATTTTCATTGGTGCAGCAATCTTATATCATTTTCTGCTTGTAAACATGTAAACACTATGATTGGTTTAATTTAAAAGCTGGAGGAAATTTTAAACCAGTGCAAATTTCAAAAGATATCAAAAGAATTTCTTAATTTCTTCTTACGTAGAACTGCGTGGAAAATTTGTTTTTTATTATTCGTTCAAAGAATTGCATCCTTATTGTTTTACAATTTAAAAATGATATTAAACTTATTGCAATATTACGATCTATTCCGGGGATATCGACATTCAATCATGAAAATGACGACAGAAAATGCTTAACATATTTAGGATGAAAATTTTTGTAGAAAAAGAACAAATTCTAAATTATATCGTCACAGCAGTGATCACAGTAAAATTATGACAATGTATTATTATGTAAAATAAAAAAAATTATGTTGACTGGTTTTATTCTCTTATTTCCCTTAAGTATATTTAATTTAACGTCTAGCTGGAATGATTTTGTGATGTATGCCGTTACCCTAAAGTACACATTACAGCAAATTAAAAAAAAAGAACGTCTTTAATTGGGATATAAAATGGCGGCTTTGAGCAAACTTTCATCTTTAAAAGTCTCCATATCATGTTAAATTATATTAATTATAAATTAATGGAGTGACTATACACAACGACTTTGCATTATAAGTAGTTATGTACAATATACCTACCTACATAAAACTGACGTATTTTCTCAAATTTACGTCGATGTTGCTGGCGCAAACCTTCGAAACGTCCGAGTCGACATCTGTAAACATAACGAACACAATGCAAATTTTCTAAATTCAAGTCATTATCATTCTTCTATATGTGCTGCATGCTACATATTTAAGGTGTGGGAAGGTACAAGTATGAACGAATAAATGTCAGATCGAATAGGTATTGGGTGATCAATATTGATTGTAATCGAGTCAGCCTTGAAAGAGTAGACGTATGTTCTTAACTTAAATCACAGTATAGAGATCATTCAGTAGGGACAACTACTGTCGGCGCCTTTGATGTTTCTGACCCGAATTTTAAGCCCTCATCGATGGTCGTTGCCTAAATTATTTCTAGAGATCGCCACCCAATTTAAAAACTATTACAAGTGCTCGATTTAAAAATTTAAAAATTGATTAGTATACACAATTTACTACCTATCTTACTTTGAGAGAGAAGTGGATCTTTTTAATCTATAAACGTGATGATTTGTTGCAAATTTTAATGTAATACTCTCACAATTCACACAATCTTTCTCAGGGTACCTGTAGTTTTGTGATGATTATCAAAATAATGTAACAAATACGTATAAAAACAAAGGGATGCGTTTCGAAAAAAATAAAAAATACACTGCGAAAATGAAAAAAAAAAGGTCAAATCATTTTCTTTCTATTAATTTTTTCATAGAATTAAAATTTCCATATTTCGTAACAAATTGCACTCAGTGACGGTGTAGATCAGAAAAAAATCCTTCAAAACTAAGTACGTGGACAAACAACTTTCAAAAGAACAGATAAATATTTTCATCGAGTACAAGTTCTGTTTCTAACTAACTCTAAGAATTAAAATAGGGTCATAACAATAACATTTTGCAATTGATCTTAGAAACCATACAATGTGTTATAATAAATACCTAACTAATACAAAAATCAAAACTATATATCGAGAAGAGTTAAGGGTATTTCCGAAAATCAATGCTATTTAGGTTATGTTCTTCCTAATATTTTACAAATTCTGTATAGTGAAAACAAATCTAAAGATCTACGATTTTGCCACTGAGGGATACTATAGTAGAAAATATTTAGTCACGCTTTCAACATATATGTACATACTTCATTGTAAAAATATCTTCAGCAGGCCTTATATTTATACAACTGCCTCGTTACCAGTCTTTTAAGATGAATGGGATTTACAAAAACCAAAAATTTGTTAAATATCAGATCATCAAAGATTTTTTTTAGAGGAATTGTACAAACAATGTAATAATGTTGAAGTTAAATGCAAAAATGATCTATAATCTCCATTATTTAAATATGAATTTTTTTTTGACTTTATGTCGTGAAACAATCTTGAAATATCTAAAACCAATAGTTCTCAGATAGAAATATTATTTAGAATATTTCCAATAATCTAACAATGATGTTATGATGTTAACAAATTTTCCCAATATTTTAAAGACCTTTAAAAAAATATGTGTTGCTTTCGTCATCAGCGTGTGTTGAGAGAATTTTTAGTTCCGGTGACAAAATCTTGACGCCATCAAGGAATAAATTAGATGACGAAAGTTTCGAATCATTGTTATTTTTTAAAACATACCAAAGACGTTAATATAAGACATTTTAATGTTAGTGAAATTATTATACAGGGTGTCCCAGAATTCGCGCCATTCCCGTGAATGACATGTTCCCTGTCCCGAACTGTGCCGTAATTCGCAAAAAGAATTTTCCAGTCTTTAACCGTGTGAGAACTGGAAGGCGATTAAGTTGACCAATAGAGAGGCTGCTTTTATATCCGAACGTTTCTATGTTCAAAGTTACCTATGCCAAGAACAAAAAATCGGGTAATACTAAAGTTGAATGAATTTTTTCCGAATCCCCCTCCGTCAACAAAAGGAAACAGAAGTGTGGTTATAAATTTAATCATTTTGACAATTGTTTGTCATAAACTGTCACGAAGTTTATCACTGATCTGAAGAGACGCTTCTGCGCCAAAGATGACTGATTAATGTACACAGAGACATCAAGGTTTACTTTAAGGCAAGTAGCATGGGACAGAAGTTATTTCTGCTGCCATTCTAGTTAAATTGTGTTTAACTGGGCTGTACATGTCATAAGAGAGGCTGTTTCATTTCATCGTAGGCAAATAATACATTTATTACTATTCTACATAGTGTAGATACCGAAGAGCAGGTATTAGAAGTGATTTTCTTAGAGCCCCGTGAATAATCGTCGGCACCCAGACCAACATGTGTTTCACCGATTGTTACATCGAGCAAGAGAAGATGGATCTTTTCAACCTAGTCGGAAAGGCCGTGCTGGGGCTCCACGGAATGTACGTGTAGGTGCTGAAGAGCAAGTGTTAGAAAACATGGAAGCGGATCCTAGGAGAAGTGTCCTCTACGTAGCGCAAATGAGTGGATGCTCAAGATCGACCACTCATCGTATCCTTCAAGAGAGAAGACTGCATCCTTACCATTACACGAGAGTGCAGCATCTGCGACCAACCATTGTTGGAAAACGTTCCTTTGAATGTACGGCGGAATATGTGGTTTCAGCACGACGGCGCTCCTCCACATAATTCGATACTTGTACGACGAACATTGAAAAGAGTATCGTCATAGGTGGATTGGGCGTGGCAGTACTAACATCTGGCCTCCTAGATCTCCAGACCTTTCTGCTTTGGACTTTTTTTTTTTGAATCAAATTAAAAATTACGTACCTATATAGAGAACCCCTAGATATGTTAGAAGAACTGGAAGAGAGACTGCACGAAGCCTACGCTACAGTTACTCCTGAGATGTTAAATAATACACAACACAACATAATTCGACGAGCTAGAACTTGCATTGAAGTTAATGGTGGTCATTTTGAGCACATTGTTTAATAACGTTACAGTACAACGATTCCAGCCCATAGATTAATAGTATTGCTCTTGATATGCTCTCACGTTAGCGAAATGTGGATTTTCGTTTGCCCAGAAGTGCCAATTGTGCGCATTAAATATTCCTTTTCGGGAAAATCAACATTCGTCGGCGAAAAGAATGTGCCGTGAAAAATCAGGATTTAGTTCATTTTGTCGCAGTAACCATTTAGCAACATGCACTCGTCGCGCAGTCGGCTCGTCGCAGATGCTGCACTTTCGTTAATAGTAAGGATGCAGATTTTTCTCTGTAAGGATACGATGCATGATCGATCTTGAGCATCCAATCATTTGTGCCACTTGTTCTTCACCGTCTATGCGTATAATCCGTGGAGCCCCAGCACGGCTTTCCGAATAGGCTGAATGCAACAAACGACGAAACACATGCTGGTCAAGGAGCCGATGATTGGGGAAAAGACCTGTATATTCGCGCACAGCAGTGGCTGCATAGCGTGTACATTCTCCATAAATTAACATCATTTCCAAATATTCTTTATATGTACTAGTATGAATAAGACATCAATAACTTAGTGGTATTGGTACTGATTTGTTTATAGTTTGTATTGTTCTTAAAAAAAATTGCAACTAAACGATTTTTGTTATAATTTTTATTCGTATCTTTTCAATCTCTAGAAAGTACTCACAATTTTAAAGAAACTGTTTTAAATCATCATGTGCAACATCAATATTATTCTTGAATAAGTCTCAGTTTTCAGTATCTCCCCCACATGATTGACACCACAGCAGATACCTATGATCTTAATACACCAGAGAAGTGGAGTCTCGTCTCTTTTTTCGTTGCTTAGACTAGGTATCAGCAACAAAGCTGTTCAGTAAAAATTGATACTGTTTATTGAAAATCATAAGCACCGATTAATCAAAAGCGATATTTATGTTTTAGTATACTTAATAACGTTCTTTGAATGGACATGTGGTACTCTTTTTTAGAAATAACGATAAACTTAATATCAGGCATATGATGCATGTTGAAAATGTACTAATTTTCGTTAAAAAGAACAACACATTATTCACGGGGCTCTAAGAAAATCACTTCTAATACCTGCTCTTCGGTATCTACACTATGTAGAATAGTAATAAATGTATTATTTGCCTACGATGAAATGAAACAGCCTCTCTTATGACATGTACAGCCCAGTTAAACACAATTTAACTAGAATGGCAGCAGAAATAACTTCTGTCCCA